TGCTCTGATCTTTATGATTTCTTTCCTTCTGCTAACTTTGGGTTTTGTTTGTTCTTCTTTCTCTGGTTCCTTTAGGTGTAAGGTTAGATTGTTTATTTGAGATTTTTTTTGTTTCTTGAGGTAGGCTTGTATAGCTATAAACTTCCCTCTTAGAAGTGCTTTTGCTGCATCCCATAGGTTTTGGATCATCGTGTTTTTATTTTCATTTGTCTCTAGGTATTATTTGATCTCCTCTTTGATTTCTTTAGTGATCTCTTGGTTATTTAGTAATGTATTGTTTAGCCTCCATGTGTTTGTGTTTTTTATGTTTTTTTCCCTGTAATTCATTTTTAATCTCATAGCATTGTGGTCAGAAAAGATGCTTGATATGATTTCAGTTTCTTAAATTTACTGAGGCTTGATTTGTGACCCAGGATCCTGGAGAATGTTCCATGCGCACTTGAGAAGAAAGTGTAATCTGCTGTTTTTGGATGGAATGTCCTATAAATATCAATTAAATCTGTCTGGTCTATTGTGTCATTTAAAGCTTCTGTTTCCTTATTTTCATTTTGGATGATCTGTCCATTGGTGTAAGTGAGGTGTTAAAGTCCCCCACTATTATTGTGTTACTGTCGATTTCCTCTTTTATAGCTGTTAGCAGTTGCCTTATGTATTGAAGTGCTCCTATGTTGGGTGCATATATATTTATAATTGTTATTATTATATCTTCTTCTTGGATTCATCCCTTGATCATTGTGTAGTGTCCTTCCTTGTCTCTTGTAACATTCTTTATTTTAAAGTCTATTTTATCTGGTATGAGTATTGCTACTCCAGCTTTCTATTGATTTCCATTTGCACGGAATAACTTTTTCCATCCCCTCACTTTCAGTCTGTATGTTTCCCTAGGTCTGAAGTGGGTCTCTTGTAGACAGTATATATATGGGTCTTGTTTTTGTATCCATTCAGCAAGCCTGTGTCTTTTGGTTGGAGCATTTAATCCATTCACATTTAAGGTAATTATCGATATGTATGTTCCTATGACCATTTTCTTAATTGTTTTGGGTTTGTTTATGTAGGTCCTTTTCTTCTCTTGTGCTTTCCACTTAGAGAAGTTCCTTTAGCATTTGTTGTAGAGCTGGTTTGGCGGTGCTCAGTTCTCTTAGCGTTTGCTTGTCTGTAAAGCTTTTGATTTCTTCATCGAATCTGAATGAGATCCTTGCCGGGTAGAGTAATCTTGGTTGTAGGTTCTTCCCTTTCATCACTTTATCATGCCACTCCCTTCTGGCTTGTAGAGTTTCTGCTGAGAAATCAGCTGTTAACCTTATGGGAGTTCCCTTGTATGTTATTTGTCGTTTTTCCCTTGCTGCTTTCAATAATTTTTCTTTGTCTTTAATTTTTGCCAATTTGATTACTATGTGTCTCGGCATGTTTCTCCTTGGGTTTATCCTGTATGGGACTCTCTGCGCTTCCTGGACTTGGGTGACTATTTCCGTTCCCATGTTAGGGAAGTTTTCGACTATAATCTCTTCAAATATTTTCTCTGATCCTTTCTCTCTCTCTTCTCCTTCTGGGACCCCTATAATGTGAATGTTGTTGTGTTTAATGTTGTCCCAGAGGTCTCTTAGGCTATCTTCATTTCTTTTCATTATTTTTTTCCTTATTCTGTTCCACAGCAGTGAATTCCACCATTCTGTCTTCCAGGTAACTTATCCGTTCTTCTGCCTCAGTTATTCTGCTATTGATTCCTTCATGTGTAGTTTTCATTTCAGTTATTGTATTGTTCATCTCTGTTTGTTTGTTCTTTAATTCTTCTAGGTCTTTGTTAAACATTTCTTGCATCTTCTCGGTCTTTGCCTCCATTCTTTTTCTGAGGTCCTGGATCATCTTCACTATCATTATTCTGAATTCTTTTTCTGGAAGGTTGCCTGTCTCCACTTCATTTAGTTGTTTTTCTGGGGTTTTATCTTGTTCCTTCATCTGGTATATAGCCCTCTGCCTTTTCATCTTGTCTTTCTGTGAAAGTGGTTTTTGTTCCACAGGCTGCAGGATTGTAGTTCTTCTTGCTTCTGCTGTCTGCCCTCTGGTGGATGAGGCTATCTACGAGGCTTGTGTAAGTTTCCTGATGGGAGGGACTGGTGGTGGGTAGAGCTGACTGTTGCTCTGGTGGGCAGAGCTCAGTAAAATTTTAATCCGCTTGACTGCTGATGGGTGGGCTGGGTTCCCTCCCTGTTGGTTGTTTGGCCTGAGGCAACCCAACACTGAAGCCTACCTGGGCTCTTCGGTGGGGCTAATGGCAGACTCTGGGAGGGCTCACGCCAAGGAGTACTTCCCAGAACTTCTGTTGCCTTGTCCCCATGGTGAGCCACAGCCCCCCCACCCCCGCCTCTGCAGGAGACCCTCCAACACTGGCAGGTAGGTCTGGTTTAGTCTCCTATGGGGTCACTGCTCCTTCCCCTGGGTCCCGATGCACACACTACTTTGTGTGTGCCCTCCAAGAGTGGAGTCTCTGTTTCCCCCAGCCCTGTCGAAGTCCTGCAATCAAATCCCACTAGCCTTCAAAGTCTGATTCTCTACGAATTCCTCCTCCCATTGCGGGACCCCCAGGCTGGGAAGCCTGATGTGGGGCTCAGAACCTTCACTCCAGTGGGTGGACTTCTGTGGTATAAGTGTTCTGCAGTCTGTGAGTCACCCACCCAGCAGTTATGGGATTTGATTTTACTGTGATTGCGCACCTCCTACCATCTCATTGTGGCTTCTCCTTTGTCTTTGGATGTGGGTATCTTTTTTGGTGAGTTCCAGTGTCTTCCTGTCAATGACTGTCCAGCAGCTAGTTGTGATTCTGGTGTTCTCACAAGAGGGAGTGAGAGCACGTCCTTCTACTCCGCCATCTTGGTTCAGGCTCCCTAGACATTCTTCTTTAAGTATTCTTTTTTCATTATGATTTATCCCAAGAGATTGGATATAGTTCCCTGTGCTATACAGTAGGACCTTGTTGTTTATCCATTCTAAATGTAATAGTTTGCATCTACCAACCCCAAACTCCCTGTCCATTCCTCTCCCTCCCCACCTCCCCCTTGGCAACCGCAAGTCTGATCTCTATGTCTGTGGGTCTGTTTCTGTTTTGTAGATAGGTTCTTTTGTGCCATATTTTAGATTCCACGTATAATATCATATGGTATTTGTCTTTCTCTTTCTGACTTATTTCACTTAGTATGATAATCTCTAGTTGCATCCATGCTGCTGCAAGTGGCATTATTTTGTTCTTTTTTATGGCTGAGTAGTATTCCATTGTGTATATGTACCACATCTTCATTATCCGTTCATCTGTCGATGGGCATTTAGGTTGCTTCCATCTCTTGGCTATTGTGAATAGTGCTGCTGTGAACATAGGGGTGCATGTGTCTTTTTATTTTTTATAGTTTCAGGTTCACAGCAAAACTGAGTGGAAGACACAGAGACTTCCCATTTACTCCCTGCCCCCACACATGTATAGCGTCCCCCGTTATCGACATCTCCCACCTGCACGGCAGATTTGTTACAATCAAAGACATATACAATGATCTATACACCGACGCATTATCATTCTAGTGCCCATTTTTTACTTGAAATGTCATTAAACCTTTTCCATGTCATTACATGATCACAGTGATTGTTTCTGATGGTTGCCTAGTATTCCACTGAGCACCCTGCCCCAACACCAGCAAGCTTAGAAGGGAAGCCTTCCTGCCTTTTGGAAAGGAGCACACTTTGCTGTTGGAGATTAGGACCCACCCAGTTAAGAACTAACATTTGGGACGTTAGAAGCAGTCAGGAGCTTCTCTTCCTAGAGCATGTTTTGGGTGTAAAATTCTTCACATGATAAAAAGGAAAAGAAAAAGGCACTAAGCAGTAGCAAACCTCCTCCTGCACTCCAAGTTTCTGCTCTGTGCTGTATGTACACAGTTGCATTGAATCCTCCTGGATGGATCCATAATTACCCACTTCCTGCAGACAAGGAAGCTGAAGTCGAGGGAGAAGATGGTTTGAGTTTACTGAGCATGTTAGTGATAGAGTCAATATTCAGATGTAGGCTTGTTATACTCCAGATACCCCACCTTTGCCGTTTCTCCTGGTGCTCCACCAAGGAAAGATGTTGACATTTGTAAGACCATGAGTTGTAAGACCATGAGTTAAGTCTACAGCAGATCCTGGTTGTGGTTTCTCTTCCTAGACTTCATTAAGTAGAAAGGAGAACAGGAAGGCTAGAAATAATTTCCCCCTCTTTTGTGTGTTAACTAAAATGATTGCCCCTGCCAATTAGTTGTGGACTAGTCAATAAGCCCTTACTGGGACTTCCCTGGTGGCGCAGTGGTTAAGAGTCTGCCTGCCAATGCAGGGGACACGGGTTTGAGCCCTGGTCCGGGAAGATCCCACATGCCACGGAGCAGCTAAGCCCGTGTGCCACAACTACTGAAGCCTGCATGCCTAGAACCCGTACTCTGCAACAAGAGAAGCCACCGCAATGAGAAGCCCACGCACTGCAACAAAGAGTAGCTCCCGCTCAACACAACTAGAGAAAATCCACACACAGTAACGAAGACCCAATGCAACCAAAAATTTAAAAAAAAAAAAAAAAGCACTTACTGAGGACAGAGGCAGAGGAACTGTGGGTGATGATCCAGGCCTGGGGTCAGACTGCCTGTGCTCTCCCCTTCTCTGGATCCTGTATTCCTCACCTGTATCATAGTAATAGTATTTGTACTTGCCACATAAGTAAGGATCACACAAGATAAGCCATTGACACCTGTTATTGTTAATGTGTTTGTGGTGCTGTCGCTATCGACCTGGTGATGGTGGTGATGGTGGTGTTGACTTGTTGACACAGTTGTGGATATTGTTGACATTGTTGCTGTTGACTTTATTAACTTGCTACCATTACTGACTTTGGTGTCAACTTGCTGACGTTGTTGTTGACTTGTTATTGGCTTGTGGGTGCTGTTGTTGTCACTAAGACCTGTATTTCCTTCTTTCTTCCTCACAAGGTGGCTCACGTGGTCCTCAAGGCTCATGCCAGGGCTTGGCACCACTACAACAGCCAACATCGCCCACAGCAGCAGGGGCGGGTAGGCATTGTACTGAACTCAGACTGGGCAGAGCCCCTGTCCCCAGGGAGGCCTGAGGACCGGAGAGCCTCTGAACGCTTCCTGCACTTCATGCTGGGCTGGTTTGCACACCCCATCTTTGTGGATGGAGACTACCCGGCTGCCCTGAGAGCCCAGATCCAACAGATGAACAAACGGTGCCCCAGTCCTGTGGTCCAGCTCCCTAAGTTCACCGAGGCAGAGAAGCAGCTCCTGAAGGGCTCCGCTGACTTTCTGGGTCTGTCCCATTACACTTCCCGCCTCATCAGCAAGGCCCAAGGAGATACCTGCGTCCCCAGCTATGATACCATTGGAGGCTTCTCCCAACACGTGGACCCTGCGTGGCCCCAGACCGAATCCCCTTGGATTCGTGTGGTACCCTGGGGTATAAGGAGGCTGTTGCAGTTTGTATCCTTGGAATACACAAGAGGCAAAGTTCCAATCTACCTGGCTGGGAATGGCATGCCCATAGGGGAAAGTGAAGATCTCATCAATGATTCCTTGAGAATAGACTACTTCAATCAATATATCAACGAGGTGCTCAAGGGTAAGAACGTGGATATGCTGGTGATTGGAACGTGGGTGGTACTTCATCAAGTCTTCAGAGTTTTGTTTTGAGGGACAAAGACAGTCTCCCAAGGAAATGAAGCCAAAAAGTAGTATTTGTAGTAATAGTGTGAGTCCTTCATATCAGCCTCCTGTCTCCCTCAAAGGCCTCAAGCCTTTACTTTTATATTGCTGGTGCCTACAGCACTCCCTTCTGCACTCTGCCTATCTGAGTCCTATCTATCCATCAAGCCTCATCATCTTTTAATGCATTTAGTTAACAAATATTTATTGAGTGCCCATTACATGCCAGACACTGTGCAAGACAGTAGGGGTACCATATTGAACCAACACCATCTTTTCCCAGAGGGGACTCAGAGTCTACAGAGGGACGCAGACAGAAAAGTGCAGTATATGGTGATGATGGCATTACAGGGTGGCAGGAGGACACTCAGGGTGGGACTCCAGCCCATTAAATCTTCCCCCATCGCTCCAGCCTGGCCTGATCTTCATTTCCTTTAACGGGGTATAAAATCTACATTCCACATCATTCACTTTGGTCCACTTAACCTGTACCTACAGTCTCATTTTTACCTTATATGTCTTTTTATTTCAAGTAAAAAGGAGCGGCAAATAGGTTTCATCTCAGTACGCCAGTCCTAATCAACTGATAGTGGCTAGCTGTCTGCCTAGAGGGCTGTGTTGAGAAGATTTCGAGGCCTTGTCTAGAATCAAAGAGGAAGAGTTAAAAAGTGACCCCTGCCCTGGGCGCTGCAGTAAGGAATGGAGACCTACATCCCACTGTTTGTGAAGTCAGACTTCACCTGTACTCTCCTCAGTATCAAGGAATCCCTTTAAGACATTATCTCAAGTGATCCTTGAAACGGCCTGGTTCAGTAAATGGGGGCAGATATTATCTTCATGGGACAACTGTGAAAACCGATGCTCTGAGAGATTAAATGATATGCCCAGACATCCAGTGAGTGGAGCCATAGGCCCTTCTGTTTCTGGCTCAGCAATTCCTTCTGCCCACTAACCTATGAGGCTTTTATTCATCTTTATGTTCCCAGAGCCTAGCACAGCGTGGGATAAAGTAGGTGCTTACTAAATTATCTATTGAGTGAATGAGCGACGTTACCTACCTCTTACACAGTCATCCACAGCTATTGCTCTGACTCCTGGTTGACTCACTAGAACATTTTTAATTCTTTCACAGTTCTGGAGGCCAGAAGTCCAAAATCAAGACGTCACTAGGAACACTTTCCATCCAAAGCCTCTGAGGGAGAATCCTTCCTTGCCTATTCCAGCTTCTGGGGGCTCTAGGCCTTCCTTGGCTGTGGCTGCCTTCACCTTCACATGGCCTTCTCCCCTATGTCACTTATGATGATGCTTGTCACTGAATTTAGGACCCACCTTGATTAATCCAGGATGGTCTCATTTTGAGATCCTTAACTTAGTGAATTATATTTGCAAAACCCCTTTTGCCAAATAAGGTTACATCAGTAGTACCAGGGGTCAGCACTTGGATATACCTTTTTGGGGACCACCATTCAAGCCACTGAATCAGAGAATACTTTTTTTTAGGCTTTACTTCTCCTTTTAAAAACGGAATGCGTGATTATTTCATGTCAATATTACTAAACATAAAGAAGAAAAAACAAAAGCATATTTTCTAAAGATTAAATGATTTATGTATTCTGTATTAAACCAAGGAGTCCTGACACTAGCAGATGGGGCACTTTTTCTTTATTATTCATTTTAAGGTAGGGACACACCTTTCGATTGAGACTTATGGCCATAGATGTGGCCTGATGTTTTGTGTGGGTCTTACGGATTTTCCTTTTACTTGTTATGAGGAGGAAAAAGGGTTAATATCTTGGGGGTAACCCAAGTCACCTCCCGAACTTTCATGTTAAAAGGAAAACCTTTTAAAAGTAACATCAGCCCTTTGCAACTCTGTCATCATTTCAGACCCCAACCAATCCTTGCTTAACACACACCCTTACTTCTTGCCAGCTCCAATCCTAATTCTCGACAAACAATTTATGTAACCTTGCAGTTTTTGCCTTTATAAGTGTCCCCCATTTTATAGTGGAACACAATTCAAGTGCTTCTTGACTCTGTGTCTCCCGGGCTGCAGTGCTAACAAACCCCAAAGTAGACACCTCTATTTTAAAAGTAATAAAAATAAAAGGCAACATCAGTAACAGACTTTAAAACAATCCCAATTTTGGTTTTCTCCACAGCTGTCAAGGAGGACTCAGTGGATGTTCAATCTTACATTGCTCGTTCCCTCATCGACGGCTTCGAAGGCCCCTCTGGGTACAGCCAGAGGTTTGGGCTGTACCATGTCAACTTCAACGACAGCAGCAGGCCAAGGACTCCCAGGAAATCTGCCTACTTTTTCACCAGCATGATTGAAAAGAACGGTTTCCTCACCAAGGTAGTAAAAAGACTGCCACCACCCAGTAAAGCAAACGTCCCCCGGAAAATCAGAGCCTTCACGTTTCCATCCGAGGTACCCTCCAAGGCTAAAGTAGTCTGGGAAAAGTTCTCCAACCAACCCAAGTTTGAAAGAGATTTGTTCTACCACGGCACGTTCCGGGATGACTTCCTGTGGGGCGTGTCCTCGTCAGCCTATCAGATTGAAGGAGCTTGGGATGCTGACGGCAAAGGCCCCAGCATCTGGGATAATTTTACCCACACACCAGGGAGCAACGTGAAAAACAGTGCTACTGGAGACATAGCCTGTGACAGCTATAACCATCTGGATGCTGATCTGAATATGCTTCGAGCTTTGAAGGTGAAGGCCTATCGCTTCTCCATCTCCTGGTCTCGGATTTTCCCGACTGGAAGAAACACTTCTGTCAACATACGTGGTGTTGATTATTACAACAGGCTGATTGATGGCTTGGTGGCAAGCAGCATCTCTCCCATGGTGACACTGTTCCACTGGGACCTGCCCCAGGCCCTCCAGGATATTGGTGGCTGGGAGAATCCTTCCTTGATTGAGTTGTTTAACAGCTATGCAGACTTTTGTTTCCAGACCTTTGGTGACAGAGTCAAGTTCTGGATGACTTTTAACGACCCCACATCCCAGGCATGGTTGGGGTATGGCTCAGGGGAATTTCCCCCAAATGTGAACGACCCAGGCTGGGGACCTTACAGAATTGGCCATGCAATCATCAAAGCTCATGCCAGAGTCTATCACACTTACGATGAGAAGTACAGGCAAGAGCAGAAGGGGGTCATCTCTTTGAGCCTCGGTGCACACTGGGCAGAGCCCAAGTCGCCGGGGGTCCCCAGGGATGTGGAGGCAGCTGACCGAATGCTGCAGTTCTCACTGGGCTGGTTCGCCCACCCCATCTTCCGAAACGGAGACTATCCCGATGCCATGAAGTGGAAAGTGGGGAACAGGAGTGAACTACAGCACTTAGCCACCTCCCGCCTGCCCAGCTTCACTGAGGAAGAGAAGAGGTACATCTCAGCTACGGCCGACGTGTTTTGCCTCAACACCTACTCCTCCAGAATCGTGCGGTATGCAACACCCAGGTTAAACCCGCCCTCCTATGAAGATGATCGGGAGCTGACCAAGAGGGAAGACTCTTCCTGGCCCTCCACGGCAGTGAACAGAGCTGCATCCTGGGGGATGCGAAGACTGCTCAACTGGATCAAGGAAGAGTACGGGGACGTCCCCATTTACATCACTGAAAACGGAGCAGGGCTGACAGATCCGAAAGTGGAAGATACCAATAGGATATTTTACCACAAAACCTATATCAATGAAGCTTTGAAAGGTACGTGAGTGTTCATGTCCCCCTTACAAAATCTCCCAACGTCCACATGTCATGTGCCTGAAATGGTTTGGCAGAGTGGATTACACACCATCAACAGCTCTCCCTTTTATACCCTAATTCCGTAATTCTTTCCCGGTCTGGGGTTACATATCCCTTTGGGAATCTGAAAAAAGCAATGGTCATCTCCCCAAATGTACACACAGGGTCCCACAGGAGTATTCTCATGGGTCCATTCACTCATTATTGTGACAAGTTCTATTGTCACTATGTGACAAGTTCTATTCTAAGTGCTGGGGACACAGCAGTGAACAAAATAAACAACTTTCTGCTGACACGGAGCTTATATTCTGGTGGGTTCCATGCACCCTAGAGCAATAAACTCTTCTCTAATTCACATTTCTGTATTTAACTTCTAAAGTAGGCTGAGACTCTTGAATTTCAGACATGTCCCTTTACCCCAACAAAAGAATTTGATTTTGCAAAGATCAGTAATTAATACTTGCTATGGGGGCATCAGTGTTGACAAAAAGAAAGAGACAAGATGATCTATCAGGGCACACATTACTTGTGTGCACAAGTTGGTGGTTTAGGACTACCTGCAGTGAGGAGTCCTCCTGGTATAAAGCTCTCATCTGCTGTCTGTGGAACGTTCCCAGCCTACAGGCTCGACGGTGTTGACCTTCGAGGATATGCTGCATGGTCCCTGATGGACAGTTTTGAGTGGCTAAATGGCTACACGGTCAAGTTTGGACTGTACCATGTTGATTTCAATAACGTGAACAGGCCTCGCACAGCAAGAGCCTCTGCCAGGTACTACACGGAGGTCATCATCAGTAACGGCATGCCGCTGCCCAAGGAAGACGAGTTTCTCTATGGACAGTTTCCCAAGGGCTTCAGCTGGAGTGTGGCTACCGCTTCATATCAGGTGAGGAGTTCAGGACAATTCACCATCTACAGCAAACCTACTATGTGCCAGGCTCTGGGCTCAGGGCTGGAGAGGGCAGGTGGGAGCAGTGGATTTTTATAGACCTGTGGGAGGGAAGTATGGCTACCTTGCAGGGGGAGTCTGGGAGGCCCTTTTCCCAGACAGCTTGGCTTCTTCACATCCTCAAATTCAGGCGGGCCATCACAGTTACAAGGGCTGTGCTGAGATGGGTGTTAGCAGGCCAGATGGCGCAGGTGGAGCCTGGAAGAAATACTTAGGCAAAGACATGCAAATATGAAGATTCTCAGCCGGATGCCTTTATTTCTCACTTAGTCTCTTCCCAGCAGACAGTTCGATCAAAATGGCTATCACATGGGCCTGGGCGTTTTCTGATGTCCTAATAACATCATACCTCTACCTTATTCATGCTAAATGAAGCTCACTAATACAGAAAATATGAGGATTTACTTTTCCTCAGAAAAAAAAGAAAGATAAAAAACGAAGAGTGACTTGCCCAGGCAGTTAGGGGTGTGACCCTGCCTTACATCTTCTTCCTCCATTTATTTTCTTTGATACAGGAGTAGGGGTTTGTATTCCCAGTGTGGAACCTGGGTGGGGTTAGTGGTCTGAGCTGACTTGACTCTGGGTTGCTCAGCCCTTGGATTTTTTCTAGGTGACCATAGCTGCTGAAAATGTTTCTGAGGAAGGTGAGGGTAGCTACCCAGACGACCAGACTACCAAGGTATAATGAAGTCTCAGACCAAATTCTGCCATATCCAGACATATGTTAACTAAGCACACTAACACAGGAACTATTCATGTATCCTATTCCATGGCCTGGAGAAAACCTCAGCTCTTGGTCCTCTTCGGTGCTCTGGTCAACACTGTACATGAAAGGTTTACTTGAGGAAATGACAAGATTTCAGAGACAGGATCCTGTTGCTCCACGGAGACAGAATCTTCTGTAGCAGGGTTTCTCCAGCTGGGTCTGATTGACATTTGGGGCTGGATAGTTCTTTGTTGTGGGCCTGTCCTGTGCACATGTAGGATGTTTAGCAGCAAACCTGGCCTTTACCCACTAGATGCCAGTAGACTCCTCCCCCAGCTGTAACAACTAAAAACGTCTCCAGACATTGCTAAGTGTCTCCTCAGAGACAAAACAGTCCCTGGGTGAGAACCACTGCCCCACAGGTTTATAGCTGGACTTATTTATTCTAGGGCTAGGGTTAGGGACTTACTCTAGGGCACAGGTTGCAGGCCTGAATCAGTTATTACTATGATAATTGACAAATGCTGGTTTTCTGAGTTCATCATTGCTTTTGTATTTATTAGGTGGCATTCAAAAGAAAGGTCAAGCTTTGTCTTTTCTCCTACTTGGTTATTTACATTTTACTTATATGTAAATGTATGTCGATATAGGTCATCAGTACGGCCTTGTGGAGTCCTGTTTGTCTCCAGTGGGTTATACTTTCGCTATTATTATGTATGCAGATGCTTAAATCGTCCACCTTTTGCCGGTGGATTGTCCTTTAGCTGGATCCTGTGTCCTTCTGACATGGCCCATCATTCTTTGAGCACTCTGTTAATTCTTTCTGGTGCAACAAGATGTTCCAGGCTCATCTTGTATCTTTTTCTGCCCCAGCCCTGTAATCAGCCATTTCTCTAATGAGCCCTGGTTCCTTTTATTGGATAAGGGCATTTAGAAACCAAGATCTGGGTGCTAGGTGTGCTCACTGCTACTGGGGTGTCATTACTTCTAGGCCCGCTCAGTGGACAGAGCTAGGAAATGCATGTGTGTGTACACACACACACACATACACACATACGTGTGCGTATATATCTAGTTCTACATCCACCCAAATCTTTATGTATGTTAAAAAACACACTGATACCTCCATTGCAGTCCAACTCTACAGGGTTAATGCTGGCCTTCCCACTTTTCATATTTGTATCTCTTTTCTCCAGTGATGAGAAATCTAGTTCCTAATATCTTCAACATAGTCACTTATTTTCTTAGTCCCCCTGCATTAACTAGTCTCCCAACCACCAAGCCATCTCCTGCACCCAGATGGACCACATGGGGTGCATTCCCGCTGACCTAGGGCCTGCCACTGTCAGAGGGGCTGTGCAGGCCAAGCCTGGACATGTCTTCTTCCTGAGAATGCCAGCACTACCTTAGCTGCAGCCAATCACACAGTATCACACTATATATGCTTAAGTGTTTCAAAGTAAATTATGGACATTACACCTCTCAAACTACCTAAGCCCATAGGTAGGCGTTTGCCCAGTGGCTTGTGGTCAGTTTATAGGTTAGGTGGGAGGAGGAAAAGGAGGCACAGAAACAATGATACACATCCTGATTAGAAACTCTGCCTCTACATCTGGCATCGTTGGGATTTGTTTGGCTGTGATTGGGGTTGAGGCATGTGGAATTGTTCATTCAAACTTTTAGTGAGCACCCACCATACTCCAGACACTGCTGCATTGACTGCTGGGCCACCAAGATGAAAGATACAATGCCTAGACCTCAGTCTTGTAGGAAGAAACCCAGTCAGCAAGTGCGTAATTGTGCAGTGCAGCATGACAGTGCCGTGATGTTCAGAAAGTATGTACAGGAAGCTGAAGGAGTTCAGAAATCGGAGGGTGGCAGAGAAGGTGATGCTGACTTATGTCAGGACTCACCCACTGACTGGGAAGGGCTTGACTACATGACTTGCTTAGACCATGTCTTGTCATCTTGAGATCGAAGGTGCGTGGAGAGCAGATGGCAAAGGGCTCAGTATTTGGGACACCTTTTCTCACACACCACTGAGTGTTGGGAATGATGACACCGGAGACGTGGCCTGTGACAGTTATCACAAGATTGCCGAGGATGTGGTCGCCCTGCAGAACCTGGGTGTGACCCACTATCGCTTTTCCATCTCTTGGACTCGCATCCTCCCTGACGGAACTACCAAATACATCAATGAAGCAGGCCTGAACTACTACATGCGGCTCATCAACGCGCTGCAGGCTGCCAGCATCCAGCCCCAGGTGAGATGGGGCCCTGACCGGGCCTTGGCCAAGTCCCCTGGGAGCCAGTTGGGCTGGAAAGCACATTTCTTGTGTGAAAAAAGTGCTGTTTTCAAACTTAATTTTTGAATGATCAGTAAAGATTTTCCTTCTGCCCCTGACCTCTAGCCATGTTTCCCCTCATAGGTGACCAAGTTTTCTGGGTTCTCATGTCCTTTTGTGTATGTGATCAGTAGGCATGTGTATATGTGTATGTATATGCCTTTTCCCCTCTTTTTTCCTAATGGTATGATACATACAGTTTGATACTTGCTTCTTTTAAAATTTTTTATTATTTATTTGGTTGTGCCAGGTCTTAGTTGTGGCAGGCGGGCTCCTTAGTTGTGGTACGTGGGCTTCTTAGTTGCAGCTCACAGGCTATTTAGTTGTGGCACGTGGGCTCCTTAGTTGTGGCACGTGGGCTCCTTAGTTGTGGCTGGCAGGCTCTTACAGATATTTCCATATCCATACATAGTTTCCTCATTTGTTGCTTTTTTGTTTTGTTTTAGTTATGTGGTAATTGTTTGTACCTTACTTCTCTAATCACTTCCCTATTAATGGACACTCTTCCCTGTGATGTTTCCACTCTTTTGCCATTATAACCAACACTACAATGAGTAACCATAGATACGTAATTACACTAGGGTGGAAGTTTATCTGTAGGATATGGTTCTAGGAGCAGAACTGCTGAGGCAAAAGTGCACGTGTTTTTAAGCCATGAGTTATTATGAATAATAATACAGAAGCTCACTTGTGGGCTTCTTTACTGTCACCAAATCTTTTACATTTTACTTGGGAGCATAAGAATACTTCTCCTTTTCCCCTGGGCCATTTATGATAAACAGCTGGAGGGCACTAGTTCTTTGATACTGTGTGTTTCCTCTGCTGTATTGATTGGAGATTATGCACTGCAGCCAGAGCATAATCTCCGCATTAACCCCCCCCCCCACTCCCCACCCCAAAAGCAGAGATTTTTACAAATAAAAGTGCTACCTGGACTTCTCACACTGCTAACACTGCAGGAACAAATCATCCATGCGGCGTTTATTACAGTGTGTGTGACCACTAGCTGTGATGGAGAGGGGACGGCCAGTGGCTGCCCTGCACGAGCCCAAGATCTGGGGGGAAACGAGCTCCATTACACATAACAATTCAGAACATCAAAAATAACAGAACTCAGGGCTTAATGATTTTGTAGTTCTTATTTTTTTAAATAGATTTTAAAATATTTATTTTTGGCTGTGCCACGTGTCATGCAGGATCTTAGTTTCCCGACCAGGGATCGAACCCAGGGTCTTGGCAGCAAGAGCATGGAGTCCTAACCACTGGACCTCCAGGGAATTTCCTGTAGTTCTTAAGGGCATTGAGACACCGCAGAAAAGAAAAGTGCTGTGGCCGGAAAAAGCTTCAAGGAGGTGTGGGTCTTGAAGAAAGAGGACAGTCTGGGTGGGTGGGTGGGCAGGGGAAGGGCATTTCAGGCAAAGGGAGAGACTGGGCCTGAGCTGAAGATGGTTGGCAGCCCAGTGGAGACTGCGGACAGTGGAGACCCCTGGCGTGGCCAAGAGGGAGTGTGTCAGGAGCATCAAGGGAAGACCCGGAGAGAGGAAAGGCTACCACACGGACATGGCCATAGGGGCCCCTCTCCAGCAAAGGGTTCCCAGGTCCTCAGAAAGAACCTCCAGACAGATGTCCATGGGGATGCCCCTTTACAAGCAAAATGCCTCAGAGCCTCAGACTCTCAGTGCAGTCTATCCCGGCGGTTCTGAAGCTCTAGCATTTCTGATCCTTGACTACAACCATAGCTAACATTTGCTGAAGAGATGGCAGGATGTCAGCCACTTTTTGTGTCCTCTGCCATGTGATTTCGGCCTCACAACGATTCCGGGACATGGAGGTCTCAGGGCCTGAGCCTGGGGTCACATGGCTGGTAGGTGGCAGAGCTGAGACTCAAATCCAGGCTTCTCTGATCCAGAGGTATGAATTTCTCACGCTTCAACACTGCTGTCCTACCCTTCCGGCCAGAGAAGCTTTGAGGCTTATTTGTCATATCATTCATCCTCAGCTTTAGCAGCAGACATTTACGCTGCTGCATACAGCATCGCTGGCTTCCCATGAAAAGGAGGTTGATGGAAATGCTGATCTTGCTTTTTCACAGGTGACCATTTACCACTGGGACCTGCCGCAGGCACTCCAGGACATCGGAGGCTGGGAGAATGAGACGGTTGTACAGCGGTTTAAGGAGTATGCAGATGTGCTCTTCCAGAGGCTGGGGGACAAGGTGAAGTTCTGGATCACACTGAACGAGCCCTTTGTCATTGCTAACCAGGGCTATGGCTATGGGACAGCAGCTCCAGGTAAAGGTCCCAGACCCCCCTTGTCAGCTCTTTGGAGTGTGGCATTCTCAGCACCACAAAGACATGAAATCCAGGTGGCCCTGGAGGAGGAGGCTACGAAAGCCCGAAGGCAGTGCTTCAGAATCCCCGCCTTCTGCTCAGGGCTGCCTGGCAGGCAGCAGAGCTTCCCCCTTCTGACACCACTTTTGCTGAACATGAACTTCACGTCTCAATACATCCAAATGGCTTCATTGCTCTCTCTCTACGTCTGATCTGCCTCAGATAGGAAGCTGCCTGAGATCAAGAGTGTGGACTAATCAATATAGGAAAGGACAATACATCAGACTGTACAGATCCACAGTGGTTTTTGCAACTCCAAAAATGCAAAAGTTTCCAATATATGATTTGGCTGACCTGGGCTTAACCTGACTTGAACCAATGTGAGGTGACATCCCACTTAGAGTGAACATTCAGAAGTTCTGCACCAGCAGTGCTCGTTTCGGCAGCACATATACTAAAATTGGAAAAGTTCAGCAGCAGACGTATTAATGTCCTTAATCATGGAGAGCTGTCCTGGGCCCTGCTGGGGTCATATATAACTATGTTATATGCAACTTATTACTTTTCCAAGACACAGAAACCTTTTAATCCCAAAATACATCAAACCCTGGGGGTTTTACAGTGCTGTGTTCCTAAGAGTTTTTAATAAGGAATTGTGGACCTGTCCTTGTCCCTTGAGAACCCTCCAATTTTCCTTTCCTTGAGTTCTGAGCCTTAGAGAGTAAATTTGTGTTCATTTATGTGATTCCTTGGGATTACATGTAAAAGCTGGAAAGAGCCACGGGGAGATCTGCTTTGACCCATTACCAGATGTATCTCCCATTGGTCCTTGGTTGACGCTTTGGTTTATCATTCCTTCAACATATGAGAGGCAGCCTCTCTCATAACATTTGCTCTCAAGGAATCTCTGTGTCGGATGCTTCCATCAGCTATACTCTCCAACTCTTACTTTCACTGTGGGTCCCCGCAGAGTGCCAGGATGTCACCTCCTGAGGCACACACTCTTCTGGGTACTTTGCCTATGACATATGAGCCACTCTTTGGGCGAGGGGTACAGAAACCAACACCTGTCAATCAAGTGCCTTCTCTTTGCCAGACACAGTACTTCTCGGTGCTTTGCACACACTCTGTTTCATTTCCTTCTCGTAAGAACTCTCTATTGCTCATTTTGCAGAGGAAGGAACTGAAAGACTGAATTACTCAACCCAAAGTTACCTGGCCAGCTTTAAAAAGTGGAGACAGGATTCGAATTCCATTCTTCCTCAAGCCAAAAACCAAAATCAGCCTTTCTCCCAAACACGACGAGGCCATCTATAGGCAGAAAGTAATATTCTTGGCCACATTTATTCTTCACTGACATCTCTGTGTATATTTCCAGGAATCTCCTCCAGGCCTGGCACTGGTCCCTACATTGCTGGCCACAACCTAATAAAGGCTCACGCTGAGGCCTGGCATCTGTACAACGATGTGTACCGTGCCCGTCAAGGTGGCATGATTTCCATCACCATCAACAGCGACTGGGCTGAGCCTAGAGACCCCTCCAACCAGGAGGAGGTGGAGGCCGCCAGGAGATACGTTCAGGTCTGTTCTTCCTCTGGGCATTGTTCTTACTCTTGCTCTTTTCCCCTCCTGTCACGATCTAATGGAAACAGAATTAAATAGCGAAACAAAGATTTAGGAACTAGGCCCTGCGTTGCTATTACCTTATTCTGTGCCCTTGGGAAAATCATCTAAACTTTTCGTACTGTAGTCTTCTCATCTTTGAAATGGAGGTGACCTAACTACCTCATAGGTTTGCTGTGATGAAAGTTCTTTGGCGTTGTTTTCTTTCAAGTCTTAAAAAAATAATCTATACATATAGCTCTTACTGGATGCAACACTGGCTTGAAGCTAAATAACAGAAAGAAATTCTGCCTTTTCAATCTGTGGTTTGACTATAGGAGCTAATAGAACTGGGCTGCAATGTCACATTTCGCCTCTAGGTGTCACCATCTGATTTTACTTACTCTGCCTAAGAATTACCTTAAGTTGGGGGCTTTAGGTTATGTGAAACTCATTAGTGCCCCTAATTTTCCATGAGCTTCACATAAGGATATGCATCTTTTGGTCACGGAATTTTGCTCCTGGGAAGTGGAGGCACAAGTAAGCAGGTCCCAACAACACGGCCCACCCTTATTTCAGCCTGGGCCCCTGAAAGACGAGAGAGAGAACGGTGCTCTTCATGCCATAGCTTTTCCCTGGCTCCTGCTACTGTCTCTGAAGAGGTCTGAAGGCACCCTCTCCCATGTTTCAGCATCAGGAAAAAAAAAGCAAGCTTCTCTCTCTCTCCAGATTGCTCCCCACTTTTAAAGGCTCTGAGGAGGAGTCCGCAGACTGTGGCATTTCTGAAAGGACACCAATGGCCTTGGTTTGCCAAATTCTTCACAAACGAACTTGACAAAGGTGGTCAAATTAAAAAGTGCAAACAAGAACTTAATGTCCCATTTGCTAGCCAGCTGGGGGGAAGGCCTTGGAACAAAATTAATTCATTACCTCATTTCAGACTCACAGAACTGGTGAGTTAGAGCAATAATTTGTTTTCTGAAATCAAAACAAACCTCAGGAAATGTTAGGCTGTAGTCTCATTATCACAGCTCGTCCGTGAACTGTGATCCTGCAGCTCAGGACTATGATACGCATGTCCCCTAATAAAATCAGCTTCCACAGAAACAATTTCTCACCTCAGTGAATTGAAGCTTCTTTTACCAGAGTGAGTATGTTCCAAGCCTCATCTCTGACTGGGAATGGAAGGCTGTCCTCACCCCACATTTCAGGGAGTAGCCAGCAGGTGAGGGGAGGATGTCGAGACAGAAGAAGCCTCTCAGGACCCACAGCGTCATAGCACTTGGTTGCCACATATACCCCCTAAGGGTAAGGATGGCCTGGACCTCATTCAAGAAAACAGACTGAAAAGTTCCTCACTTCGCGAGTCCAAAACCCATGAAGAATCATCCTTTGCCTAGGCAACCAGCCTTGCACCTGGTTCCTCCCAGAAGGTTCTGGTGGGTCCTTAGGCGTGAGGACGGGGAAGGACCTGCTCTGTGGTAAGAGAGGAAATCAGGGCCTGGAGGCTTGGGGTCTCTCCCCCTCTTCTGCAGGACCCTCCTAAGGGCAGCCAGCCGCATTTGTCAAGTCCAGGGCCAAATCGGTTCACATCCCTCAAGCTACAGTGGGTGAGAACATTGCCCTGCCCACAGTGAGCTCCCAGCGGGGTGACAAGACCTGTGGGCATTTGAGCTGCAATATGGGAACAGCCGCAGAAGAGAGCCACGCTTCATACTGGGTTGGGGAGAAGGGGCCCTGGGGTCAGCGACGCCTGAGCCGGGAGCTCCGGTCTCCTGTGGGCCCGCCTGTTAATGCCGGCACTGACTGTTCCCCCTTAACCCCACCCGCAGTTCATGGGAGGCTGGTTCGCACATCCGATTTTCAAGAATGGGGATTACCCCGAGGTGATGAAGACACGGGTCCGTGACAGGAGCTTGGCGGCAGGCCTCAACAAGTCTCGGTAGGTCCTGGCGCCACGCACTCAGCCATGAGAGCTGGGAGGAAGTCTGCTCTGTGGTGCCCAACTGAGGCTCCTGGGTGTACGGCACAGTGATGAGAGCATGGCTGTTGGGGTCAGAGAGGCGTGTCTTAGGCGTGTCTGAGCGTCCTTGCTTGCCGGGAAGATTACAGGCGAGTGTGTATGTGAATTGCTTAGCCCAGGACCTGGCATGGCTGTGCCAGGCAGTTGAGACAAAAGGCAGTTGCCCTTATTATTCTTCAGAATAGCCAGGAAATCCGTCCCCAGGGCACCTACTTCTTAGCGACCCACCACCTCACTCCGAGGACAAATTCCCCAGCTCATCTTATCCTATTTCATCACCTTAGGAGTGAATGTGGGTAGCAATGGGTGACTCTTAGCCGAGTGCTTTTTGTCCTTTGGCCAGTGGGTGGCAATGGTTTGCACCGAGGCAGTCCTACTTCCGTCAAGGAAGTAACAGCAACGTCAGCAACAGCTAACATTTATCCATCTTCTGTCGGCACTTTCACCCCTATTTAAAGATGAGTAAGCTGAAGCACAGAGATTATGGCAAGACTGCCCAGCTGTTCAGTGATGGGGCTGGGATTTGAAAGCAGGCTGACTGCAGGGCCCATGCTTGGTTTAAGAGTCGTCTGGCTGGGGATTACAGGTGTGGTGTGGGGAAGGGGACGCAGTGCCCTGGCCTTCTGGGAACACACCCACAAAGCTCTAAGGTAGCTCATGTGACCATAAGAAGGGGAGGCTAGGGTAAAAATTCAAAAGGCAAGCATTCCTAACACAGCCTTTGAGTCTTATACAGCCCACCTGTGAGGATGAAATAATCCATCCCGGCCCTTAAAACGCACGTGTGTGCTGGCCTGGTTAGGGTAAGTCCTGCTGAGCCAAAAGGTCTGATCTGTCAACCCTGGTCTCCAACAAGCGAGTGAGTGCTCCAGTCCATTAACACAACCTTACTGAGCACCTACTGTGTACCCAGGCCAGGGCCAGGCCCAGGCCCGGCAAGGTCCACACAAAGAGGAGGTTCCAAATATGGTTCCTCAAGTGCTGACACACTGGCTGGGAAGACAGTGACCTTCATCACTCCAAGGAATTCTATTCCCCAATTTCTTCATGCAAGGAAAACTCAGAGGAGATCAGGGCAGGCTGGGTAGACCCAGGAGACTTCACGGACAAGACAGGACATCAGCTGAGCCTGGGCCTTGACAAGGAACAGCATTTGGGAGAGCAGAGGCCCTTTCCATCCAATGGGGAGAGGTGTGAGCACCGGCCTAGAGGTCGGAATGAGTGGGACACCTGCAGCTGGAATTCGGGAGACTTGGCCTAGTAGCAGTGGGAGGGCCAAGGCCACATGGTGGTGGGCCTGGAGGCCGAGCACAGGGGCTCAGCCTTGATGCCACGGGACCTGAGGAGCCCCTGCTGGCTCCTGAACAGGGAAGTAAAGGCATGGGCACGGGGGCTTAGTTTTGCCCCAGTATTTCAGAAACTCCAGGGAGGGAAGGTTCTTCCCCAGGTTAATGGTAGCAGAAAGGTCAAGGTGAGGTGTCAGGCACCTAAGCAGGGCATTCTCTAGGCAACCCTAAACCTGCAGCATGTAGTCAGGATTTGGCTGAGATGAACCTCTAAGTGTTGCACACAAGTGCATGTTGATTGAATTGTATAGAAAAGTCTCACTAAGAATACATGGAAAGAATGTCTACATGTGTATAACTGAGTCACTTTGCTGTACGGCAGAAATTGGCACTACACTGTACATCAACTATACTTCAATTAAAAAAAAAAAGAATACAAGGAAAATGCTCCACCAGATGTTTAAAAAGAAAGTGCAAGGCTTCCCTGGTGGTGCAGTTGTTAAGAATCCGCCTGCCAATGCAGGGGACACGGGTTCGAGCCCTGGTCCGGAAAGATCCCACATGCCGCGGAGCAACTAGGCCCGTGCGCCACAACTACTGAGCCCGCGAACCACAACTACTGAAGCCCGTGCGCCCAGAGCCCGTGCTCCGCAACAAGAGAAGCCACCGCAATGAGAAGCCCGCGCACTGCAACCAGAGAAAGCCCGCTTGCATTAACGAAGACCCAACACAGTCAAAAATAAATTTTTTAAAAAGTGCAGTGAAATCATGTGAGCAGAAAAGTCCAAATCTCAAAAGTTCAATCAATTCAATTTGTAAAAGTATTTCCCCTACTAATGAGGATTGACTTTGGAGAAAAGTAGCACGCCTAAACAAACCACAGTAAAAACTTGCAACAGGAAAAGAGAGAGGGTCTTGCAACGCCAGAGGGAGGCGAGGTCTGTGGTCTGGTAGAAGGAGGTTCAGGTGCCTTCAGCAGCAGCTGGGAGGGCCTCTCCTTGCTCCCGGCCAGAGGCCCGTAGTCACCTCCAGGTACCTGAGTTTAGAGCCCTCCACCAACACCCCCACAGCACGTCCTCTTCCCAAACCCCACATCCTTAACGGCCCTTTCCTTCCAGGCTCCCTGAGTTCACAGAGAGTGAGAAGAGGAGGATCAACGGCACCTATGACTTTTTTGGGTTCAATCACTACACCACTGTCCTGGCCTACGATCTCAACTATGCCTCTTGGATCTCTTCCTTCGATGCAGACAGGTAAGGAAGGGTGCCTGGAACAATCTTTGGAAAAGACAGCAAAGTGCTCCTCTTCTCTCACTTAGAGGCCTGTACAGCCTCTGAAACTGCCTCCTCATGCTGTGTATCCTGGGGTTTTTCCAAGATGAGCCCCATCTCCTGAGATACCTAAAAGAACCTCTATCAGTCAGATAGTAATTCAGGCTAAGGTTTCCAAGATGCTTTCCATTTAAAAAGCAGACAGGCTTAGAGTTTTTAAAAACATGAAAAAAAAAATTTTTTTTCTTTCGGTTTTCTTTTTTCATCAGATTTGTTTCACTTACCAGATGTTATTTCATTCAAAATAACAAGCTTCTTTTTTCCTTTTGAGGGTAAAGGTTAAACTATTATTTCTGTATTACAAATAATATATGTTCACAGTAGAAACACTGGAAAGCAAGAACAGGAAATTCTTGAGTGTCATTTCCGAAGTATATGTGTGTGTGTATGGGTGTACTACCTCTCTCTGTATATATTTATATTATATACAGTTTATATAGTATATAGTTATACAGAAATGTTTGTTACAAAAAATCAGGATTATTATGTGTGCACACTGTTTTGTCCCTCTTCTGACAAGCATCTTTCCCCATCAGTAGCTGTGACTCTGTCCGGGTTCTTTCTTTGGAAACAAGTGCTGACATCCCCACTGCATCCTGCAACCACCAGAGTCAGGCTTGCTGAGCAGGGCTGAGAGGCCTCCCTGCTGGTCCCCGTTCACGCACCCACTCGACTCTTGCTGCCTCATGGGTCCTGGGACTGTCTCCCCAGGCACCTGTGCTCAAGCTTATGAAATGCCCCACATGCAGTTCAGGTGAACAATAAATCCAGCTCCTGATAAAACGCAACGGTTTTTTTTCCTGAAGGATTTGGACGTTAAGAAATATCTAAATGGCTGTTCCTCCTAATGAAATGCATGAGCTTCTGTGCCCCCCCGCAGAGCTCCCTCTGGCACAACCTGATGCCCTCTCCTTGCCCATCGCTGGAGAGAGAGGAAGGGTCTTGGGCACTTGAGGCAGGTCCCAGCATATCTACCCCATCATCACATGAATGGAGGCCCAAATACTGGTGCCTGTGGCTGTGCCTGTGGCCTGCGGGTGGCGTCGACCAGACGTAGGTGACTCAAGGGCGCCTCTTCTCTGAAGACATAGCACTCGCATCCCATGGGAGATTACGGTAAGGGAAGCTCAGAGCACTTTCACATCTAGTGTGAGGTGTGGCCTGTTAACAGAGCCGTGGAGGGTTAGATCCATGAGTAAGACCATTCCTCTGTACAGGTAGAAAGCAGAACAGAGAGCTTAGGTGGCCTGTCCAAAGTTACACCAGCACTGACTGATGCCACTACAACTAGTGAAAAGAGAATCCGAGGACTTTTGACTCTTCTAGGTGTAGCTACGACTCTTGAGTCTAGGCAAAAATCTAGGTTCTCCTCTAGTGTAAATCCTGTTTTGTGCAGAGGGCCTCTTGGGATTTACAAATCGAGACCTAATCCTTAGCGTTTGAACTCGTAGGGGAGTTGCCTCCATCACAGATCGCTCTTGGCCAGACTCTGGCTCCTTCTGGCTGAAGATGACACCTTTCGGCTTCAGGAGGATCCTGAACTGGTTAAAGGAGGAGTACAACAACCCCCCGATCTACGTAACAGAAAATGGAGTGTCCCAGCGGGAAGAATCAGACCTCAACGACACTGCTAGGATCTACTACCTCCGCAGTTACATCAACGAGGCGCTCAAAGGTATGCCAGGCCCCCGCCCTTCCTCCAAGTGCACCTTTCACTGCTGGAAACATATGCTAACGTCTGCAGTCAGGGCAGTACTGCATCCACAAGCCCGAGATGAGGAAGATGAGGTTTCTAGCTCGTTTTGGGTTTAAGCCTTTGGGGCTGCACACTAAGAGTCTTCCTTCCTAGATTTAAGCTCAGCAAGCAAACGCTGTTGCCTGATACAGCTAGACCCGAGTTCTTGGCCTGTCATTTGCTCTGCTTGATCCTCTGGTGTCAATGTCCCTGAACAGCAGTGCCCTCCTGAGGACAGTCTGGGCGGGGGCCATGTGGAATGGGCTGGAGGGGCTGTCTGTAAGATCTTTTGTTCCCCAAGCAAAAGTTTGAGGCCCTTAGCTCAGCAGAACAACCTGGGATGGGACTATGACACGGAAACGGTAAGTAATGCTGAGTAAAAGAAAATGAGCAATGCAGCAGCAAAAAGAAACGATTAGAAAATCTTATTCCAGACAAATTATTTTCTGAGGGCCACTTTTCTATAGGGAAGAGCATTAACACTCTAAGGCTCTGTCCAAGACCAATAACCCATGATGTGAAGACAAGGAGGATTACACATGACCCAGGAGGATTAATTTAGTCTCTACCCATGTTCCTGACTCCTATTCAGGGCTGAGCCTTTCTAGAAAATGCAGATGGCTCTGCAGGAGCACCCACGGAGGACCAGCTAACGATTCCTGCATGCAAAGGGTGAGCAGCTCTCTTAAAAGAGCTGAAAAAAGCTCACCTTGACCTGCACGCAGGGACTGTAGGAAAGCTGTGGGCAGGCATGGCCTCAGTAGGCCTGGTGGAAAGGTGTCTTGGGAAGACCAGGGAAGCTCAAGCTGGGGCCTGTCTTTGGGCAGCTGTGCAGGATAAGGTGGACCTTCGAGGATACACGGTTTGGACTCTGATGGACAACTTTGAGTGGGCCACAGGCTTTGCAGAGAAGTTCGGTGTGCATTTCGTGAACTATACTGACACTTCTCTGCCAAGGATCCCCAAAGCGTCGGCCAAGTTCTACGCCTCCATAGTCCGGTGCAACGGCTTCCCTGACCCCGCTGCAGGGCCACACCCTTGTCTGCAGCAAGGTGAGACGTGGCTCTGGGAGGGACAAAAGCCAGAGGGTGAGGGGCGAGGGGGCCTGTTTCTATTTTCTTCTAGTTTACTACCCTCCTCTCTGCCTCTCCATCCCCTTCATTCATTCAACCAACTTCTGTTCTTTGAACGTTCCAGACATTCTTAGGATGGAACAAAGGAATTAGGGTTAAAGTTACATCGAGAAACTAGGCCCTGGTCTGGGAACAGCAGGTCTAGATTCTTGTCCCAGCCCTATCACTAACTTGCCGTGCAGCCTTAGGCAAGAAACTAGGCGAACGCTGGGCCGATGCAAGGATCAAACACCGTGCCTAGCACAATGTAAGGTGGCCAATGTTTGCTGAGTGACTGAAAAAGTATAAAGTACTATACAAATTAAGAGACAATTATCCAGTATAGATTATACTCTAATCACTGAGAAGGATGCTTCAAAACTAAAATGACGTGACTTCCTTCAGAGGCTCATAACTCAGTGTGAAGGATTCGTATCGTCACCTCCGCAACGCGCTCATCCTGTAGCTTCTCTACTGTAAGGATCTGGCTCGGGCTTAATCTAGGTTAACATACATCTGATAACTCCGTCTGTACCGGTGCACACACTGCCTCTGTTGTCCTCTCCTAGATGCTGAGCCCACCGCCAGCCCCATGAGAGAAGAGGACGTTCAGTTCCTGGGGCTCAGGCTGGGTACAACAGAGGCCCAGACAGCACTGTATGTACTCTTTGCTCTAATGCTTCTTGGAGTCTCTGGTGTGGCATTTCTGTCCTACAAGTACTGTAAGCGCTCCAAGCAAAAGCAAACACAACCAGGTGAACAGGAATTGAGCCATAGTTCTTCACTCTGACCTCAAGTTACCACCTCCTCCAGTTCTGCAAAATAGGCCTTGTTTCTTTGAAGCCTTTGCCACCTCCAGGACCAGTGAGGATCTTATACTTTACCCATAACAGAGTTTGTACAAGTCTCTGCACTATTAGATACTAATTAAACTTGAAGGATTTCAAGTCCCTGATTAAAATGGAAATATCTCCACCTTGCCCCAGTATCAGGAATTCACGTGGGCATTAGATGACCCTGCGAGTGGCTCTTGTGGAAATAAGTAGATACTGAATGTGTCTACTGGTTCTGTGAGCCACTGAACTGGGCTGTTTTAATTTTCAGAGATTTTAAAAGCAAAAACATTAGTAAGAACCATAGCAATCCTTTTCATAAAAAATCAACTGCAATGTCATCTCCTGCCCTCTCTCTTCAAGCTCCCTCCCAGACGCTTACCTTGTGTTTCTCAGAAACTAAAAAGGTGCTATTAACTGTGTCCTATCTATCTTCTATGGGTGCTTCTCCTTGAGAAGGCAGGTTCCACAGAAGTTATGACTGTCCGCTTGTATAGCTTCACCACAGTAATCCTCTGCTGTTAGCTTTCGGAGGCCAGAGGGCCACGTCTCAGTGTCCCTGGCAGGCACATTTTGGAGACAAGGCAGAGGAAACACACCCGCTGCATTTGTGTGCTCATTCACAAAACATATGCTGAGTAGCAGCGAGTCTTTATCAATGCCCCTCGGAGGTGCTAATCAGACAGTCACAGTATGGAACACTCAAACTTGTTTAGTCTATATATTCTTCCTAGATATCTGGGAGAAAGTTTTTTTAAAAACTGAGCAGTTTTCAACTGGTTTTAAAAGGCCAATCACACTCGAAATTTTGCTTCTTATAAGTGTTCCTTACCTGAATTGTATCTATAGAAAATTCCTATCAAAATGTTCCACTGCCGTGGGCCCCAACCTGACAGTCAGAATTGCGGGGCACAAGCATTTTTCTCCTACCAATAGACAGAAAAAGTTTATCAGATGGGGTGAAGACGGTTCTAAAAGTGATATCAGAGACATTCGTATAAGCTTTCAATTATACCTGAAGTCAATATAACTTTTTTTTGGGGGGGGGCCAGGACATGAAAAAGAATAATATAAAGCTTCACATGAAACAAACCTGAGAAAAGATCCAGGATAAATCTGGGGGGGAAAAGAATATAAAATATATTATAAAACTAGTTATAAAAAGTAGTTTTGAAAGAGAGAATAGAAAGATCAACAAAGGAAAATAGAGCCGAGACAAACCAGCCACGCATGGGAACCGGGTGCATGACAGAGGCGGCCTGCCAAATCAGGGGCAGGGGGCAGGTGGATGATGGACCACTCCATAAATGGAGGTGGCTCACAGGTTAGCTCTTGAGGATGTTAGCCACAGGCGGGAAAAGGGAGCCACATCCCTTACTCGGATACAAGATGTAAATGTAAAAAAATGAAACCACGAGAATGCTGGAATAGATGGGTAAATTTTTTTAAAATTACTTTCTGAAATGGGAAAAGTATTTTATAATCAAGACTTAAGACCCAGAGGCCATAAAGAAAAACGCTGATATAGGACCACATAAAAATTGTGGCAAGAAATTACCATCAACATACTCATCAAAAGATGAACAGGGAGAAGATATTTATAGCATATGCTAGACAAAGGGCTCACTTTCTTAATATACGTGAAATTGTTATAAATCAATAAGAAAAAGATGATAAACACAAAATGAAAGAAAACACAGGCAGTTCTCAGAAAATAAATCAAAATAACCAATAATATTAAAAGATGCTCACCTTCATTCATAATCAACACAATGCATATAAAATGCATACAGTTTTTCATTTATCATGTTGACAAAGATGCAAAAGTATAATACAATGCTGCCAAGGATGTGGGGAAATCAACATCCTCCTACCTGTTAGCTGCTGTAAATTCACAGAGCCTTTACAGGAGGCAATTCCCCAGCATTTTTTATAATCCAAACTGCAAACACCCTTTGACTCAGTGACGTTCAAGTATACTTCCACAACTAAGAAGACACCTTCCCAAAGATGTTCACTGTAGCAATGTTTGTAATAGAAAAACAAACACAAGTACAAAAACTGTAATAACCAATGAACGCAACCAGAGAATGGGTAAGTTTATCAAGTGAAATGCTTTGCAGCCGTTAATGAGAATGAGGTAGCTATGTGTTGATGGGGAAAGATCTTCAAGACTGTGTACGTAAAAAAGCAAGATGCAGAGTAGTATATATATAATATGATCCCATTTATTTAAAAAATAAAGATTACATATTTGCTTATGTATGCATAAAATTTTTCTGAAAACTACAAAAGAAACTGTTAATAGAGGTTACTTCTGGGGACTAGAACTGGGGATAGGATACAAAGAGGAAGATGTCATTTTATAGCCTTCCATACGGTTTTGAATTTACCATGCACACGTTTTAAAATATAAAATTGATGAAGGATCCTCTTACTCAAAGACTGAATCATTCTTTTATGTACGTTTCTCTAAGAATCTCTATTTGATTTTTTTTTCAAGGCAAACTTGGTTTTTTATTCACATATTGCTATGTTTTTAAAGACGACAAACCTTTACTGAAATGGGATGCTTGCTGGAGATGTTTCTTTTTCAAGCTTACTTTTTAAATTATGGAAGTAATTTCATTACAGAAAATTGAGAAACATATAAGGATGCAAAAAAGAACTAAAATTACATATAACCACTCTTACCACCATTAACGTTTGGTGCGTTTTCTTTTTTCTTTACATTATGTTAATACATAGTACGACCTCTATATAAAATGTGTTTATAAAGCTGAGATCATACTGTACCTACAGCTCTGTATCCTGCTTTTTTCCCGGAACGCATAACAGGTACTCAATAAATATGTTAAACTGAATTGTTGAATTAGTATTGTGCCATTTCTCCTCAGCAAAAGTTAATTCTGCAGAAGGCATTTAGTTGGTTTCTAATTCTGAAGTAAAATAAATAAAACTTAACATGTTTATACCTAACTTTTGCCTGCATTTATGGTCATTCCTTCAAAAAACTTATTAGATCAAAGAGCATGAAATATTTAAGGTTTCTGACAATGTTTTTCAGAAAGATTATCCCAGTTTTCATTCCTACTAATAACGTACCTGGTCTCACTGTTTCCTTGCCAACACTATTACCATTTTTTAAAGTCACTGTTACTTCATTGGTGAAAAACGAAGTTTTTGCTCTGGGAAAATTTCTTCCTCCCATTACAAAATAAAGTCAGAGTCCTTCTATTCCAATCTAAACACAAAAGATTAGAAGAGGAACAGTCAAACTTACTCCCTCTTTCAAACATTCTTAGTGTCTCCACCACCATAAACATATAGTAGCACATTAGTCAGATTAAGAACCTAAAATTCTTAAGAATAACCAAATGAGCAAAAGGCAGATCTTAATTCCCTACTTCTTGTCCTACAATACAGGTACTTCAATTCTTTGAAGAGTGATTATCATTATTGAGACCAAAACTTCAGTATAAAGGTGACAGAGAACTAGTTGTAGACCAGCAGCTGTTTTGTCCGATGAGAACAAAGACCATAACATTATGCAAACAAAGCGATGCCTCCCTGAATTAGGAGAGACAGTAACATAGCATCGGTGTGTGTCAGAAAATTTCTTCCTGCAGTGATATTTAAGATAAGGTGGTCACCTCCTTTCCTGGGATAGTTCCAGGGCAGTACAGTGGGGTAGGGGGGTATCAGAGACACATGACCTCCACAGAGCCCTGTGCAACAAAAAGATGCTAGGATAACAAAACTTAAAGGAAAGATAAGATCATTCTGATTTTTGGAAAAGGTTTTTTATTCAGTGTTTAAGTAAGATTAAAAACTACAAGATTTTGCTTGCAGCTGATGAGCAAGAAGAGAAAAGTTAAACCCAAATTATCATCTGATTGGCTATTAAAACGCTCTGACTCAAAATCAAATTATTCAGTGACATACCAGTTACTTTGTGTGGGCTGAGGAGTTCTGGAGCAAAACAGCCCTAAACAAAACATATCATCTGAGAGCACAGGGCTAATGGGCATATGAAATACTAAACAAGAAAGCTGATAAAGGGAGGCTGTCGCAGACCTTTTGTTACTTTAGGCTTCTAGCAGTTGGTTACCATATACAAGGACCTAGCAGCCAGTTATTTTATCTCTTGACTTGTCTGAGGTTAAACAACTTTAACCCACTAAGCAGGAATAAAGAGACATTTTGTAGATGAGTTGGAAAACAAAGCAGTCCCACTTCTCCAGCAGAATTTTAGTTGAATTAAATCATAAGAGAAACAATGATTACTGCACATATTGTACTTGTCACACTACATCTGTTGAGTAGAATTTCCATTCCAAGTGTTGTTTTCATCTTCACCATCGTCTTGAGTCCTCAATCTGTATATCTTGCCCTCCTTTTTAAAGTCTTCCCCCCGTTTCTCCAGCACTCTTTTTCTGACTGGTTCCCTGAAATAACAAAAGAGGGAGGAAAGAAGAAGATGATATAAAATGAAAACAGCAGTAACACAAAGCCATTTCTTTTAAACTGCGATTAGTATAGTTTAAGAAAAGTCCACGGAGATCATTATATCTACTAATGCAGTACTAGACTATACATTTTTGGTGGTGTAACTTCATCTGTTCTCTAAGCCAAACTAGTCACATCATGTTGTCCATGTATTTCTTGGTGACTCACTAAGTTTTAGAAGACTGGGACCACTTGCCAACTAAATCTTTCCTTTATTATTTATGCAAGCTGATGTATCTACTAAAATATTTATTTATAACTTACACAACACCCTAGAGGCTATCCCAAACTCCAATCATAGCTTAATATACAGAAATGGTCAGTTAGCAATTTTCAATCCTTTCAGAATCTTTAAGAGTGATTTATTTCTGCATGGACAATTTAGAACAAACAGTTCTTCATCTGAAAATGGAAAGGAAACAGGTGAAATTTACGCTAATACATTCTCCAACACTGGAGGGGAAGGGAGAGAGAAAAACAAAAACCAGTGGTGGAACACGAAGCTTCACCTGCTCGGATATACATTCATCCCATCCTTTGCCCCAACCCAAGACCTGTTCCCTTACCTGAAATAAATTTTTGAAACCCACACAGCAAGCTCTTCTATATGACAGTAATTCAGGATGAAATGCTTCCATTCATTGCTCAGTAAGAGCTCTGAAATTCAGACCTAACAAGATCTAGTTTGAATGCTGTTCTAAAACTAGATAGAGAACAATTTCTCTGTCACCACTTGAGTAGTGTACTTGTCTTCCTGCTTAATAGTTAAGAAAGAAATAAAGATAAAGGCTGCATCAGCCCAGTCACAATGTTAACAGAAATTGTCATCTAGAGAGTCAACAGGACACAAGATTAGGGATCTCCTTACAGCAGACAAAGGCAAGGATTTTCATTACTTACCACATATGATTGGTGTGAGGATTTGCTATTAATGGCCCAATAAAGTATTGAACAATACTAGGTATATATTGTAATAAATTGTGCTACTAATTATTAGAAGGGGGTATAATCTCGAATTCTAAGAAAATACCTCCTGTAAACCTCTTCAAATATGTAAAATTTTAACAGAGGTATGAGCTAAGATCATTAGTGTTGTCTATCAGTATTACCATTCAAACCTTGGCCATCTCCAACAAAAGTAAGGCCTCTTGGTTAAGGAACTAGTCCAAAATAACTCTCTGAAGAGTTATTTCATTTTCAAGTGAACATCCAGTTTGGTCCTTCTCTGAATGACCCAGAGGAGGCAGTTAAATTATCTATAGCACAATGATCCCTCTAAAGTAATCATACAAGATGACTGTGAGAAATTAATGAAGTATCTTGTCAGACAAAACATGGGTAACAAGAAAAGATATTACTGTTTAGACCTGAAAAAAATATGCCTTTTGTTATGGAATAAAGAGAATTCAATAAATAAAATAATAAAATCAGTAGCAGTGAAAGTTGCTTTCCATGGAATAGGTTTTAGAAAGATGGCTGAGAAAACTCAGGTATTGAGCTTCCCAGAACATGTTGGGTTTTCCCCCTTATACAGAGAAAAGGCAAAGTATCCATAACAAAATTTTTCATTTTGAATAAGGCATTGGGCATTACTAACATATTTTGCAAATGGGGAAAATACAAACAAATACCTTTTTTCTGAGTTGCCAGACGATGCAAGGTTTGAGGATTCCAATGATGCTGCTCTCACCGAGGTCTGTGCAGGAGGAGGATTACTGAATAAGAAGTTGCTAATCAATCTCCAGATGGCAAGGAATGGGTAAAGTACTGTCCCCAAGAATGTCCAAAAGTCGCCACTGGAAGAATGTACCATGGATGTAGTTGGTCTTCCTGCCTAAAAATTAAGAAAGAACCTAGATAAAGACGACATCGGCCCAACCACATCACACTCAAGGTTCCAGATAAACTTTTTTACCTGGAAAAGTCCTGTGGATTTTAGTTTACTGCAAGAAGGTAAAATTGCCATCTTTTGCTGTTTTTCAAGTGTGTAAACTTCTAGGAACTCCTGGAGCTCTTTTTCTTTAAAGGAGTAATTACAACACAGAAACTGGAAAGTAGTTTCTCAGTGAAATGAACCAATTATTTTGAAGAGAACTAAACTTTTGTAATGAAATTAACAAGTTTGATTTTAAAAGTCTTTCTTAATGATTTTTAAAAAGGGAAAGGTTTCAGATCTCAATGAATACAACTAATCCTGTTTACTGGAGGACTGTTTTAGGTGTGGGGCTAAAGCTCAGATCTGGGTAAACTACAGTAGTCCCCCTGCTTACCTGCAGGGGATACTTTCCAAGACCCCCAGTGGATGCCTGAAACCATGGATAGTACCAAACCCTAAATATACTATATTTTTCCCTATACATACATACCTGTGATAAAGTTTAATTTATAAATTAGGCACAATAAGGGACTAGCAAAATTGCCAGCATCATCAGTCTTGAGCTTTGGAGCCATTATTAAGTAAAATTAGGGTTCCTTGAACACAAGCACTGCAATATTTCAACAGTCTATCCGATAACCAAGAGGGCCAGAAAGCGACTAATGAGCAGGTAACATACAGAGCATGGATACGCTGGACAAAGGGATGATTCATGTTCCAGATGGGACAACACACCATTTCATCACACTACTCACAACGGCCCACAATTTAAAACTTATGAATTGTTTATTTCTGGAATTTTCCATGTAATGTTTTCAAAGTGCGGTTGGCCACGAGTAACTGAAAGCATGGAAGGAGAAACTGCAGGTTAGGGGACACTACCATATACTAACCAAGATATGGAAGAACCAAGCTCTCATCCCAGCTCTGGCACTTAAGGTGGCACCTTGGCAAAATTATTTAAGGTTCTGAGCCTTTTTTTTAATCAGAGATTAAAATATTGTTAGGATCAGATGGGATTAATATGTTTAAAAATGAATGTTATTTTTAGATTAAAATGTTTTTTTAAAAATTGGTAAACAGTACTCATATACTCATACATAAATAAATGACACCAAGTCAGTAGATTAGGCAGATACTCTACATTTCTTTTCCTCTCCTACTGGTCGTTTTTTGTACATGAAAATAGGTGAGGGAAAAAGTTGAAAATTTATATTGTGTCTCACTAGCAATACAAATATAAAGCCCAGGATAATGGAACAATAAATTGATCTAACATTTTTTGATAATTTGGACTTTAATTACCCACAGTACACTTTTCACCTTCCCTTCCTCTAATTATAAGATCAAGAGCAGAACAAACAGGACTATAAGAATAGAAAAAATATATATGCATATACATACTGGCAACAGTACCACTGAAGCACTTGGGGCAAGTTCCAAATCCAGTAATTTCTTTTTATAATCTTCTTTGGTAAATTCCCTCCTGGGAAACATTGTTGCTAATGAAAAATTACCGTAAGTGTTGCCAACAGTCTGTAACATAACAATAAGTTTTAAAACCTTACAGTGGAGCCTTTTTAAAGTAAGATATTACAAACTCATATGCATCCAAAATGAGTGCTTTAATTTTAAAAGTTCACTTAAATGTAAAATCAAAAAACATTTATAAAAACTTTGTGCTTCAAAAGATAGCTGAAGGCTATCAAATCCAAATAGTACTTAAAAGCTTTTAAAACTCAAAAATGACCATGAGGGCTCCCCTGGTGGCGCAGTGATTGAGAGTCCGCCTGCCGATGCAGGGGATGCGGGTTCGTGCCCCAGTCTGGGAGGATCCCGCATGCCGCTGAGCGGCTGGGCCCGTGAGCCATGGCCTGCGAGTCCGGAGCCTGTGCTCCGCAACGGGAGAGGCCACAACAGTGAGAAGCCTGCGTACCGCAAAAAAAAAAAAAAAAATGACCACGAAATAGCAAGAATATGTTTCCCAAGACTATATAAATACACTGAATAAAAATGAACAATTAGGTATCTTAACTATGACTGCAGTTTGCAATTAGAGTTTTCACCGTCCTTTGGCAAACTTACATTAATAGCTCACAAATACCCATTTGGATTGTAGGTATTTTGTATTAAAAATCTGGAATAGACCAGAATTTCCCTCATATTATACATATGACAGGAGTTTTTGCCTCCTCCTTGTCTCGGAGAGTAAATGGTCCATAATCAACCCATATCACACACATAATCCCAGGTCCAGGAATTTACAGTGGGCAAGCATCACAGTCACTTTCACAATGTTAAATCACCTATACTTATAAAATCTTCCAAAGGAAGAGTCTAATTTCTGTTTTTTGTAATTTTTTTAAAATTTTATTTATTTATTTATGGCTGTGTTGTGTCTTCGTTTCTGTGCGAGGCTTTCTCTACTTGCGGCGAGCGGGGTCCACTCTTCATCACAGTGCGTGGGCCTCTCACTATCGCGGCCTCTCTTGTTGCGGAGCACAGGCTCCAGAGGCGCAGGCTCAGCAGTTGTGGCTCACAGGCCTAGTTGCTCCGCGGCATGTGGGATATTCCCAGACAAGGGCTCGAACCCATGTCCCCTGCATTGGCAGGCGGACTCTCAACCACTGCGCCACCAGGGCAGCCCTGTTTTTTGTAATTTTTTACTCTAGGTCATACTACCTCTCTCACTGTTCTCACTCAACATAAGGTCACAAAATTAGGTCACTGTACTGAGATGAAGTTCTAATAGGACTGATGCAATTAAAGATCTTTCTTTTTTACTCATGTGATTCCCTCCTCACTTACCTGTGGCAGAAGCACCCCATTTGGGGAGGCCCTAAGTGGGGCTCCAAGGCAAAAGAAGGATGAAAGAGGCTATCTGGAGTTGATTCTACTATAAAGCTTGGGGAAAGGGGTTATTAAAATAACTTTTTATACTGTCCAGCCAAGCTCACCAGTGGAAGAAGGCATATAACTTTTTAGGCATCCTTTTCTTGGGACCTATAAGTGAGATGGCAGACTAAATGCAGAAGAGGTCTAGCAGAAAAGTCTGAATCCTAATTTTAATCTTGAAGTGATATGTAAAACAAATACCGGTGCGTGTAATAAGCCTAGATCCTAAAGGACATCTGATGCCTCATTTTGAAAAAGTAATCAATCAGAGAATAAAAACTAACTGGAGAATACTCATATCTTCTCTTCTAAGATGTCAATTTCACAACCATTCAGATCTTGAAAAAGGCCATGTTCTGGAAGTAAATTCCTGAAGAAGATACTTGTTGCCAAATAAAGATTATTGATCTTTAGGTTTGATCAACTGGCAGATGGTGGGAAAACTGCCAGCCCCAAAGCATTCTAAGCAACTTGCAGAAAATTCAGAGAGAGGACTAAGAAAAAGTGCATCTTTTACAGAGGACAACTCCTTCAGATTAGACTTTTGGAAAATCACTTGCTTTTCATTCCTCCAACTGAATGTACTAAGCACTGAGAAAAGTTTCCAGAGTCTATTTTACGATAGCAGCAAATTCATCTTTTTACAGAACAAGCAGATATGCTGTTCCCATATGGCACTGATACATGACGGAAGCTCCACAACATCCCAGAGGCATCTTGTGCCTCGCTCCTGGGGATAAGTCATAACTTATTCATACTCTTCAAATCCTGCCTGGAAAACTTCCCCTCCTACATTCTAATAACCCATTCACCTACCTTCATTACAACTCAAGACATAAATTTACCTGTGCAGCAAACTGCCTTGCTTCTTCTAGAGGAGCATCAGAAGGGAACTGATTTGTAAAGGAAGAACCATCAGGAAGACGGAATTGAATTCTCGCAACACTGCTATGAGAAAATGAAAATTTAAGTCAGCATCTTTACTTATACACATTCTCAAACGGTATCATTAAAACTAAGAGAAAATGGAAGTGGTAATGTGTAATGAAAACAGGTTTTTATGGAGAGTTGGGGAGGGAGGATTGGAGGAAGGTGGTCAAAAGGTATAAAATTCTAATTTAAGGTAAATAAGTACTAGGGATGTAACGTACAAGACGACTATAGCTAACACTGCTGTTATGATATATAGGAAAGCTGTTGAGAGTAAATCCTAAGAATTCTCATTGTAAGAAAAGAGGTTTTTTAATTGTATCTCCATTTAGCCCATGAACAACAGGGGTCTGAGCTGCACGGGTCCACGTAGAGGTGGATTTTTTGCAATAAACACATACTACAGCACTGCACTATCCACGGCTGACTGAATCCATGGATGCAGAACCATGGACAGGGAGTCATACATGGAATTTTGACTACACGGGGGTGGCACACCAACTGCAACCCCGCACTGTCCAAGGGCCAAATGTGTATGAGAAGATGGATGTTAGCTGAACGCGCCGTGGTAATCATTTCAAAATACATGTAAATCAAACCATCAGGCTGTATTCCTTAAACTTATAGAGAAATGTATGTCAAATATTTCTCCAATTAGAGAAAATAAAAAGAAAATTGGCTTTTTTCACAGTCAAATCTCATTTATTATTTTTAACAACAGGTTTTTTGAGATAAAATTCACCTTTAAAATGTACAATTCAGTGGTTTTTAATACAGTCAGAGCTGTGCAACCATCACTACTATGTAATTCCAGAACATTCTCATCACCCCAAAAAGAAACCAAGCACTTTAGCAGTCAGTCCCCATCCCTCCCTCTCCCTTTCCCTGGCAACCACTCATCTACTTTCTGTCTTTGTGAATTTGTCTGTTTCTGGCACTTCCTATAACGGAATCATAAGATGTGTGACTTGTTGGTAACTGGCTTTTTTCACGTAGCATTATGTTTTCCAGGTTCATCCAAGTTGTAGCAAGGGTCAGTACTTCCTTCCTTTTTATTGCTGAAAAGTATTCCATCGTATGCTATATACTATATTATGTTTATCCCCTCTTCAGTTGATGGACATTTTGGTTATTAGCACATTTTGGCTATTATGAAGAACGCTGCTATGAATATTCATGTACAGGTTTCTGTGTGGACATTGTTTTCAACTCTCTTGGATATATACTTAAGAGTAGAATTGCTTAGCATTTTGAGGAACTGCCAAGTTGTTTTTCCAAAGCGGTTGTACCATTTTATAACCCCATCAGCAATGTAGGAAGGTTCCAAATTCTCCACATCCTTGCCAAGACCTGGCGGTTACTTACTTACATTACTTACTTACTTATTTTTTTTCGGCCATGAGGCATTCAGGGTCTTAGTTCCCTGACCAGGGATCGAACCTGTGCCCCCTACATTGGGAGCATGGAATCTCAATCACTGAACCGCCAGGGAAATCCTGGTGGTCACTTTAAATTTAGCCTTCCTAGAAGGTGTGGTTTTGATTTGATTTTCCTAATGACTAATAATGTGGAGCATCTTTTCATGTGCTTATTAATCACTTGTATATCTTCTCTGAAAAAATATCTATTCAAATTCTTTCCCCATATTTAAATTGGGTTGTTTGCTTCTTTGTTGTTGACTTTTTATATTCCAGTTACAAGTCTGTTATCAGATATATGGTTTGCAAATATTTTCTCCAATTTTTTTTTTTTTTTGGTCGCACTGTGTGGCATGCAGGATCTTAGTTCCCTGACCAGGGATCAAACCCGTGCCCCCTGCAGTGGAAGTGCGGAGTCTTAACCACTGGACCGCCAGGGAAGTCCCTCCAATTTTGTGGGTTGTCTTTTCACTATCCTGATGATATCCTTTGAAGCATAAAAGTTTTTAATTTCGATGAAGTCCAACTTATCTGTTGCTTTCGTCACTTGTGCTTTTGGTGTCATGTCTAAGAATCCATTGCCTATTCCAAGATCACAACATTTCCTCATTTCTTTTCCTCCCAAGAGTTTATACTTTTAGCTTTCACACTTAGGTAGATGATCCATATGGTGTGAGATAATGGTCCAAATTTATTATTTTGCACATGGATATCCACTTGTCCAAGCAGCATCTGTTGAAGACACCATTTTCTCCCCCATTGAATAGTCTCAGTAAACTTTTCAAAAATCAGTTGATCATAAACGCATAGGTTTATTTCTAGAGACTCAATTCCTATTACAGGCATACCTCAGAGATATTGTGGGTTTGGTTCCACACCACCACAATTATCACAGTAAAGTGAGTCACATGAAATTTTTGGTTTCCCAGTGCATGTAAGTTATGTTTATACTATACTCCAGTCTAATAAGTGTGCAGTAGCATATGTCTAGAAAAACCATGTACATGCCTTAATTAAAAAATATTTTATTGCTAAAAATGCTAACTATAAACTGACAACACAGAGTTGCCACAAAACTTCAATCTGTAAAAAACTGCAATAAAGCATTAGCGCAATAAACGAGGTATGCCTATACATCAACCCATATGTCCATCCTTATGCCAATATCACACTGTCTTGGTTACCGTAGTTTCATAGTTAAGTTTTAAAATCAGAAAGTTTGAGTCCTCCAACTTTGTTCTTTTTCCAGATTGTTTTCACTATTCTGGGTCCCTTGCATTTCCATATAAATTTTAGAATCAGATTCCTGCATAAATTTTGGCAAAAAAAAAACAGCTGGAATTTTGATAGGGATTGTGTTGCATCCGTAAACCAGCTTGGGGATTACTGCCATCTTAACAATATAGTCTTCTGATCTATGAAAATAAAATATCTTTCCATGTATTTAGTTAGGTCTTCTTTAATTATTTCGATAATGTTTTCTAGTTTTCAGTGTACAAGTTTTTTTATACTTCTGTTAAATATATTCTTAAGTATTTTATGACTTTCGGAAAATAGTTTTTATTTATTTTATTTATTTATTTTTGGCTGCATTGGGTCTTCATTGCTGTGCGCGGGCTTTCTCTAGTTGCAGTGAGTGGGGGCTACTCTTCATTGCAGTTCGCGTGCTTCTCATTGCACTGGCTTCTCTTGTTACAGAGCATGGGCTCTAGGTGCACAGGCTTCAGTAGTTGTGGTGCGCGGGCTCAGTAGTTGTGGCTTGCTGGCTCTAGAGCACAGGCTCAGTAGTTGTGGCACACAAGCTTAGCTGCTCCGCAGCATGTGGGATCTTCCCAGACCAGGGTTCGAACCCATGTCCCCTGCATTGGCAGGCGGATTCTTAACCACTGCGCCACCAGGGAAATCCCACTTGTTAATCTTCTAATATAGAAAATACAGAAAAGTACAAAGAACAAAACAAACGTTAACCGTAATCCTACTAGCAGTATGTACTGAAATCTGAATTTTGGTCTTTGTAACACATTTTTGTTTTGGGAACTGCCTTATCCCTCCAATTCATTCATTCATTCGGGTATGATTATCAGTAATATTTCCTTATCTCCTTCAGCACAGGGGTGGGCATGTCTACTACCCCAACCAGCTGGCCTATACAAGTGGACATAGTGATTGGTATTAAGATGGCCACATGACCCAAGCAGGGCCAATCAGAATTCTCAGTGAATGAGAAAAAGGATTAGTCTTTCCTCTCTAGAATCAGAAGCTCAAGATCCTGGAAGGTGCCAGGAGGCCCTAGGCTCTCCTGACACTATCTAAAGAGTTTCTCTGAGAATAAAGCTAAGACAGAAACCAAGAGATTAAAAGGAGAGAGAAAAAATCCTAATAATATCCTTCAGATCCCTGGATCTGGTGATGCCTAACCAATTCTATCACTGTAACTCCCAGCTGCAGAGCCAACAGATTCCCTCTTTTGCTTAATCCTGTTTGACTTGATACTCTAACAAGTAAAGAATTCCAGTACACATGAGATAATCACTATAATCATTTTGATGTATGTGCTTTCTGTCTTTTGAAAAGAGATTTCTTCAGCCTTCTTTTAAACATCATGTATTTAGTACCATTACGTTGTACATTCACATTCAATGACAAATACCACTGGCAGCTGCCAAACTGATCAATATGTTCTTGTAGAACTATTTATTAATCCACAGGACACATCAGTGTTAAAAAGCAGCCCACAACTGCTTTTCTCCTCAGCTGCCATGTATACACATACATTTTAGCAGGAAATAAAGTACCTTCTTTCTTTTGTGGAAGAGTCTCTCTTGACTTCCATTTCTGCCTGTTTGGCTATCAGGGCAGCAGCTTTAGCAGCTTCTACTTCTTCCTTTGTCTTTGCAAAACGAGCAGCTCTCTCTGCACGGTCCTTTAAAACAGTTGTTAGATACTAATTATATTTCACTGCCAGAAAGATCTAGTTACACATTTCCAAACATAAGGAACATAAATATGCATGAAATTCCTTAAGGCCATACATGAACTTCATCACTCTGATACTGGTATTTTTTAGTTTTATCAACTTTCAGGGACCAGAGTTATTAGTAAACAAACAAGGACTTGATTTTGGTCACTATTCTCTCTCTAAAGCCTGGAACAAGGTCTGGCACATAACAGATAATCAATAAATACTTAATGAATAAATAAACGAACAATATTAAGTAGGGTGTAATATGTATTACAACTGCTTAATTCTAAAAGCAATTGTTGGGACTTCCCTGGTGGCGCAGTCGTTAAGAATCCGCCTGCCAATTCAGGGGACGTGGGTTCGAGCCCTGGTCCAGGAAGATCCCACATGTCACAGAGCAACTGAGCCCGTGCGCACAACTACTGAAGCCTGTGCGCCTACAGCCTGTGCTGCACAACAAGAGAAGCTGCTGCAACGAGAGGCATGCATGCCGCAACAAAGAGTAACTCCCACTCTCCACAACTAGAGAAAGCCTGCGCACAGCAACAAAGACCCAATGCAGCCAAAAATAAATTAATTTTAAATAAATAAATAAATAAAAGCAATTGTTGCAAAACTATCCTAAAGCTTGATGTGTCTAAATCCTTTGAATGTCCTAAAAAAGAATGCTTATGACTAGCGGAGCCTGTGACGTTGCAAATTCTTAGCTTCTTTCCTAGGGAATCTTTGAAAACTACCTTTTCACTACTGATAAAATTCATAATATAACACTGAGAAAAACTACTTCCAAAAAATCATCTCAATTTTAATCTTAACTGTATTTTAATTCAATACACAATTTCTAGGAAAAGAAAACAGAATTGGTATGCTCTGAGTCCCTAAAATCTACTGTTTTCGTGTGCCCTGTCTGGTAGTAAACCAAAACCATTGTGCATGAAAAAACAATTTCACTAATGTTCTAGAGTCAAGCATTAAAAATAAACTTAATACTCACCAGTGCAATCTGCTGTTTTATACGCTCTCGAGCTGCCCTATCTTCTGCCTTTTCTCTGTTTCTTTCCTCTAACATTCTTTTTGTTAATTCTTCTTCTTGCTTTCTTTTATAATCCAACATTTCTTTTCCAGTTTTCCTCCTCTCAATTTCCTTCTTAATCTCTCTCTGAATTAAAGAAAAAGTAAGTTTTATGAGCCAAAAACAAAATTTAATAATCTTCCTTTAATATTATTTTGTATGCAGGGAAAGCCGGTTGTAGGGTACAGCTAAAGGAACAGAACAACTTCACAAAATCTAGGGGTCTAGTAGAATGTATTAACAGCATGGGTTAATGGTCAAATGTCTATCAACTTATAAGTCTTTGCCAGTGGTTCTGTTAAGATTATGATATGGTCAGTGTCATTTGAAAAAAAAACATTACACGTCTTTGGTTTCTGAGGTGCCCTCTAAGGACAACATGGTAGTCATTTATTTAGCTTGAAGACCTGATAACCTTCGTATATTAGAACCCCAAAGAGATGACGCAGTTCAGGTGCACAAGGTGAGAAAAACCAATAATGCACTAGAATGCAGCAACACCAAAGGAAAAATTCAGCAAAATATCTACGCATTTCTTTTTCACAAAACTAAAACTTTGAACTGCATCAAACCAATTTTAGTTCAAGTCCCTTTATTCTTAGCGTAAAGGATTTATTGCAGAGGAAGAAAAGATGGTCCAACCTATTCCTAGCAATTTATAAAAAGAACACAAAAAAGTGTACACTATGACCTTACTACAGAAGACAGATAATTCCCCTCACTGTGCTGCAACACTGAACTATATAACCAGGAAGCCATTCCAGGTTTGCCAAACTGAATAGGGAATCAAATGCTCCCTCACTTAAGGGAAGAGGAAAACAATGCCAGGCACATGCACTTTACCTGTTCTTCCTCTTTCCTTTTCTCTTCTCTCCTTTCTTCAAGTTTTTTGGTTAGTCTGTATTTTAAAAGTTTAAAAAATACATTAACTGAGATACATCATATTAATATAAATTACATTTAGAAGATTTCTTTAGCTAAAAACTGGGGAAATGTGGAGACAGACAAAAAAGCTCCTGAAGGCAAAGCAACAACTTACCTACCTGGTCCCTGCCCCTAGGGAAATCCATGAGGAGTCAGTGGGACCATCAGAAGCCTCACTCCAGCTCTAAGTGCCTTACCTCCTACTTAACATTAGTTCCCATTCCTCCCAATTTATCAGATCTTGATTTTTTTTGTTTTGGCTGCGCCATGTGGCTTGTGGGATCTTAGTTCCCCGACCAGGGATTGAACCTGGGGCCTTGGCAGTGAGAGCTCGGAGTCCCAACCACTGGACTGCCAGGGAATTCCCTGAATATTTATTTGAAAATATGCATCTTCAAATACATATGTATAAATCAATGACTTACAAATGCTTTACTTCTTACAAAGACGTAAACAGTATTATGGCACAAAACTGTTAAAAAATAAAAGCAAAAAGCTGAAGGCTAACATTTATAAAAACCAGTAATTCCAAAATTGATTCTGAACTGTGAGAAACTCAGCAATTAAAAACTAATGATTCTGAAAGCAGACAGTGGTAATGGCTGCACAACCTTGTGAATATATAAAAACCCACTGAATTGCATACACTTTGAATTTTATGGTATGTGAATTATATCTCAATTTTTAAAAACTAATGGCACTTTCTCTCAGAGGGATTTAGGTTACACAGGTATATGCATTTGTTAAAACTCAGTTGAACAACTTGTGCCAGAAATCAAGGGACGCTCAAAGAATGATGGTTTAGAACCCCAAAGAGATGATGAAGTTTAGGTGCACACAGTGAGAAAAATGAATGATGCGCTAGAACGCAGCAACACCAGAGGAAAAACTTAGCAAAATGTCTACAGATTTCTTTTTTACAAAAAGGATGTCAAAAGGACATAAGGCCCAGGATGAAGAGGTTCCACTAACCAAATGTGAAGCAATCTGTGCATCAAAAAAATTGTAAGAGAAATTAATTGTAACACATTAGAGTTAAAAAAAGGACCCATGAAATATCTTACTGCTGACAGAAGTTATGAATTGGTATAACCACTCTGGAAAACTGTTCAGCCAGTATCTATGACCCAGAAATTCAGACTCCTGAAAATACACCCAAAAAATATGTTCACCAAGACACGTAATAAAAGAATGTTCATAGCAATTCTATTCTTAACTGACCCAAACTGAAAATAATTCAAATATCCATCAACAATAGACTGGATAAATAAATTGTGGTATAGTCAATACACAGTCAATATAGCTATACAGTAACAAGCAACAATTTGAAGTGCTTACACGATTTTAATTATATGATCATATGACCCGGATTTTTGAAATGCTGTCTAAGCAGCTAATAGTTACTTCCCAATGAAAACTGTTTCGCTATTAAGAGCTTGTCAACATTTTATCTAATCTCAACATTAGTATCCCTTTTTAGAAGCTTAACAAATTTTGTGTATATGTATCTTCTAAGAGTGCTTTATAGTTTTTTTCAATTTAAGAAATCTTAAACAGCTGTAGACCCACTCTGTCCTGACAGGCTAACTATAAAAGTAATAATGCTCAATGAAGAAAACTTGGCAACCCCAGAACAAAGCAAAGAAAAAAATCTCGAATTCCAATTTCATAGATACCAGTATAAACACTTTGGTGCATGTCTTAAAATATCTTTTTTGGACTCATTATACTATATAACACATATACACCAGTATGTGTACATATAATTATTTTTTAATTAAAAATGGCATATTGGGCTTCCCTGGTGGCGCAGTGGTTGAGAGTCCACCTGCCAATGCAGGGGACACAGGTTCGTGCCCCGGTCCGGGAAGATCCCACATGCCACGGAGCGGCTGGGCCCGTGAGCCATGGCCGCTGGGCCTGTGCATCTGGAGCCTGTGCTCCGCAACGGGAGAGGCCACAGCAGTAAGAGGCCCACGTATCAAAAAAAAAAAAAAAAAAAATGGCGTATTATATTCTATTTGCAGAACCGTCAGGCAGACACAAGCAGACATCCCTTTACATAAGAATGGAAGCTATTGGGGGGTAATTCCCTGGCTGTCCAGTGGTTAGGACTCTGAGCTCTCATTGCCAAGGGCCCGGGTTCGATCCCTGGTTGGGGAACTAAGATCCCACAAGCCATGTGGCGTGGCCAAAAAAAAAAAAAATGGACTATTAAGAAATAACAGAAACTCCCCTTTCCCACAGGAATTAAATAGCACTTGATCTCACCCCACAATAAAGGGCTACCTGCCATGTTTCTTCACATTCCCCCCAACTCTCGAAATCTTTTCCTGATTTTTCACTTTCACTTCACCCCAGGATCCCAGGGTGAGGCAAGTAAGGGTGCACAGTGGTGGGCTTGGTGTTAGCAAAGCAGAAAGAAACAGAAGAGGATGAGCCCCTGGAACTCTGGTTCCCTACTGCTCTTCTTCCAGACACACACCATTTCTCATTGCTGTGAGAGATCTACCCTGCTTTGCACCTCCAGATTCTGGCCCTGCCCCAACTCCCATAAAGAACAATCAGAATCTAGGTTTTGCTAAAATGAAGCACATTTTTACTGAATCATGAGCTAACCCAAATACCCAATATCAGCAATCATTTTGAACTCTGGTTCCCCATAACATCTATGTGAACAAGAAAATATCAAGTCTAAGTAATTTTTCTTAACTTCCATATTACACGGAATGATTTTTTTTTTTTTCGGAATGATTTTTAAGTCAAGATTTTAAAATATTCCTGCTTATCCATTCACCATTAACTCAGTTATCTTTTAAGAATCATAGTATAAGACTATGATTTGATAATCACTACAAAATTAAAAATACTAAACTAGAAACCACAAGAAGTCAGAAATTTGATTATGAGACCAACTAATAACACATGACACTTAATAGACACCCACTTATGCAGAACCCAGGCTCAGTACATAGTCATAAAATTAGATGAAGTTCTTGCCCATCTGGAACTTATCCTATGACACAGAGAGATAAAAGCAGAAGTAACAGATGGAAACACATATACCAAAATAGTAGTGAAAAAGGGATTCTTAAAATTATCAGACCTAAAGCTGACCAATGACTTCGGAGACACAGAAGTTTTTACTTCTAGAATGTAGTTTTTATGGATACAAATAAGTTGGTCAGGTAATAAAAAACTTCAACCTAGAATTCTGAAATTTCATTTGTGTAATTTTAGCTCTTATTCAAATCAATGAAATAACTGAAAACCACTGTCTTTCTAACAAAATACTATTTCTAAAAACAAGACCAAACCTTTCCACTCTGATGGTGAGCTCCTCTGTAGGTCTCTGATTTGAACACCCACCAGGCTCTTGAGACACAGTGGCCTGGCCTGAAATTTCTCCTCCTTAATTATTTAAAAAAAAAAAAAAAGAAAGAAAGAAAAGAATTAAGAAGAATATTGCATTCAATGCCAATTTTTAAAAAGGTATATATCTTTTGGGTTACAACATCTGTTAACAATCTTGTTTCTTAAACAATACATTTTCCCCCTAAGAATGGAGTAGGAGATAAGAAATGAGCTATTACTAGTGACAATTCTTACGTTTGGATCTGGATACAAAAGTATGTAAATGGGAAATAAGGCAGCTACCCAGCTGAAAGCCACTGAGATAAAACATGAAATATTAATCTGGCAGTGAGAGATATAACAAAAGTAGACTAAGCATGCCTGGCCAGGGGTAGGCTCTACTCTAAAGAAGCATGGTCCAATATCTTTGGTATCCCATAGGGTAGCCATTAGTCAGGGACAAGTGGCTACTCAGCACTGGTAATAAGGCCAGTGCAGGTGAGAGACTAAATTTTTAATTGTATTTAATTTTAATTAAAATTGCCACGTGTGGCTGCGGTTATGGTCTTCAATAGTGAAGCTCTAGGGACCTCCCTGGCTGTCCAATGGTTAGGACTCTGCACTTCCACTGCAGGCGGCACGGGTTTGATACCTGGTTGGCGAACTAAGATCCGGCATGCTGTGCATCACAGTCAAAAAAAAAAAAAAAAAAAAAGGGTGGGGAGGGAATTCTAGAGGCCAAGTTTGATACTCAGTATCACTCTAGACTTATGATGACCCAAGGGATCTGCTTCTGCACACCACAATGATTCCTTAGAAAAGCTTTTTACATCTACACTAGTATTCTTTTAAGGATCTCCTGAAGGACAGAATTTCGTCCTGGCCTGCTGTAGAGGATAGCTATGGTCTGGTACTCCCTTTCAGAACCTCTGCTATTTCCTTCCTTACCACTCACCAACAACTTAATTCTTCTTTACCTTTTTGATCCTTGGAAGAGCATGGACTGTGGAGCAACAGAGTCTGGGTTGAATCCTGTTCTGTCACTTTAGTAAATAAGTTACTTACTCTCACTGTACCTCTTCTGTAAAATGGGGACAGTAACCTCATAGAAATGTCATGAGAAGTATGTGTTAATAGAAGTAAAACGCTGAGACTTTTACTAGGACTAGCACATAGTAAGTGCTTCAGTTATTACAGCAGTAGTAGAAATATTAGAATTATTAAGCAGAACCAAAGGTACACATCTCTTCTTACCTCTGCATTCAGTGCATCACCTATGTAACTTGAAATCAGTCATAGTAGGAATATTTACACTTTGGAAATTAGCAAACACTACCAATAAGGGCTTTTTATCTCCCCCCAAAAAATCACCTTTTGTTAAATATTTACCAGCATACCATTGAATGAAACCCTTGGATAAGAAGTGGTAACCTCTGGCAGCCAGTGTGTGTTCAGTAGGAAATTAATCACTTTTCTTTAGTAAATAAAATGAATGCCAAGGACATTTGTATCTTTTTTTTAATTTTTTTGCGGTACGCGGGCCTCTCACTGCTGTGGCCTCTCCCGTTGCAGAGCACAGGCTCCGGAAGCGCAGGCTCAGCAGCCATGGCTCATGGGCCCAAGCTGCTCCACGGCACGTGGGATCCTCCCGGACCGGGGCACGAACCCATGTCCCCTGCATCGGCAGGCGGACTCTCAACCACTGTGCCACCAGGGAAGCCCGACATTTATATCTTGTTATCAGAAAAAAAATTTAAGAAAACTTCTGAAGATAATCTGTGGACAAGCTGAAAAGAAAAGTACTGTGTGTAACTTAGGTGGATCTATGACTCATAAACAAAGAAAAATGGATGGAAATAAGCTAAAACAACTGATAAAAGTCCAAACACAGGGACTTCCCTGGTGGCACAAAGGTTAGGAATCTGCCTGCCAATGCAGGGGACACAGGTTCGATACCTGGTCCAAGAAGATCCCACATGCCACAGAGCAACTAAGCCCGTGCACCACAACTACTGAACCTGTGCTCTAGAGCCCGCGAGCCACAACTACTGAAAGCCCGCGTGCCTAGAGCCTGTGCTCTGCAACTAGAGGCCACCAAAATGCAATGAGAAGCCCGCGCACCACAACGAAGAGTAGCGCCCGCTCACCACAGCTAGAGAAAAGCCCGTGCGCAGCAACAAAGACCCAATGCAGCCAAAAATAAATAAATGTATTTTTTTTAAAAAAATCCAAAAACAATAAAAATTTACTAGAGGACGTTCTGTCTTTAGGTTTAAGAAGACAACTGGAGGGCTTTCCTGGTGGTGCAGTGGTTAAGAATCCGCCTGCCAATGCAGGGGATGCGGGTTCAAGCCCTGATCCAGGAAGATTCCCACATGCCGTGGAGCAACTAAGCCCGTGCGACACAACTACTGAGCCTGCGCTCTAGACCCTGGGAGCCACACCTACTGAGCCTGCACGCCACAACTACTGAAGCCCACGTGCCTAGAGCACGTGCTCTGCAACAAGAGAAGCCACTGCAATGAGAAGCCCGCACACCGCAACAAAGAGTAGCCCCCGCTCACTGCAACTAGAGAAAGCCCACGCGCAGCAACGAAGATCCAACACAGCCAAAATTAAAAAGATAAATTAATTTTAAAAAAATGATATATTGGACTCCAACTCAAACAAACTGAAAAACTTAGTGTAATGTAAATATTGCCTAGATAATTAATGATAAAAAGAAATTACTGTTAAACTTTCTAGGTTTCATAAGGGATAATGGTATTGTGGTTATTTTTTTAAAGTGCTTATCTTTTAGATAACAATATTTTTTGTTTTGTTTTGTTTTTGCTGTGCCGTGTGGCTTATGCGATTTTTAGTTCCCTGACCAGGGATTGAACTCGGGCCCTAGGCAGTGACAGCACGGACTCCTAACCACTGGACCACCAGGAAATTCCCGGTACCAACATTTTTAAAGATGAAATGATATAATGCCTAAGTGTGTTCTAAATAATAAATGGCGAGGAGACGAGGAAAGGGGGCATAGATGAAACAATATTGGCCATGAATCAAAAATAGTTGGGGGACTTGTCTGGCAGTCGAGTGGTTAAGACTCCGCACTTCCACTGTAGGGGGCGCAGTTTGATCCCTGGTCAGGGAACTAAGATCCTACAAGGCACGGGGTGCAGCCAAAAAAAAAAAAAAAAAAAAAGTTGAAAGACAGGCAATGGGTTCATGGGATGGGATTTCTTATATTAATTTCTCTACTTCTGTGTATGTTTGAAATTTTCCATAATGAAGCTAAAAAAAAAAAAAGCTACAAAGAACTGAGATTAGAGTTGCTACTCACCTCGGATAAGACAGAGTCTAACAGTTTGAGTCTAACCAAATTAATTGCCTACTAAAACAAAAACATCAACACTCTTTGTGGGAATATAATAGAATCCAGAGTGTTATGTGTAACTCTTTAAGTAGCACTAAAGCACTCAAGTGAATGGGAAATTACAGAGCATCAAATTTCAGTTCAGTAAAGGAAGAACTTTTCTAAAAACTAGGGCTTTGACAATAGAATAGGCTTCCTAGCAAGGTACTGAGCTTCCTGTCATTAAATGTATTCAAATAGAGGCTTGATGATTATCTATCCAGGATGCTGGAGCACGATCACCTTTTAGGATACTAATATTCTAACTTCTTAACTTATCTAACCCTACATTGCCTAATACAAAGCTATATTACACAGAACAACTCTGACTGTGCATGATCCCTAATATACAATATAAAATTTCTCCTCTGCCTTTTCTATCAACCCCTCTGCAGTCACACCTCCTACTGCTACAAGCTCTATTTTACAATTAACTTTTAATTCTAATTTTAAAAATGCAAATACTATTCTCTTAAAAGTGTATAGTATTTTATGTTATAAAAACAATTTCAAACACATCAGTTCACTTGGTCCTTTCGATATCCTCTGGCTGAGAAGAGATTTACAAAACTCATGAGTATCATAATGACAGTCCCTGAACCATAGCACAGTAGCAGAAATTACTACTATCAGCTGTTCTGGACTGTTGCCTATTTGGGTTTGAAGGACAGAGTCACTGACTTGATCCCCTTCTGCCACTAAATGACAAACATATTAAATTTAAAGTTAAATGAACGTGCAGAGGGAAAATACAGTATTCTTATTTTTAAGGATATTAATCCACGGCCTTTATAGTGAAGTGGAGTGTTTAGTGTACCCAAAAGGGTACATTAAAAATTACCTGTTGCAGAATCTGACTTTGTATCAGAAGTGGGTGGTGTCTCACAGAGCTCTGCATTTCTGGACTGACAGTTTTCAGAAGTGTTGTTATGTTCAAATGAGGTGGATGGAGTAGAGACTGAACTTCCTGACTGGCCACTATCTGCCACTGATATTTCACCTTTTAACGAGTGCATCTAGGGAGAAAAAACATTGGAATTTAATTACAGATAAGAATCTAAGTTTACCATGGTATATGAGACCGAAACATGAGCAAGTCATTTGTACTCCACAGAAGGGAGAAGTACTAAACTTTCCAAGTAAATCAATCTAAAATGTATAATCCTAAATATGACATAATCACATTATGGAATTCAACTGCAAGGTGACAAGAGCACAAAAAGATATTTAAAGCACACTGTTGATTTTTCTTACAATTAGAATTCAAGGAAAAAAGTTACAAGCTATATTAGCCATCTGCCCAAAGTGGATGCAAGTGAGAAATTGAGTAAGGTCCTTAAAACAAGTCAAGCAATATACTGTTAGGGACTTTAATGTGACAGCAACTCCCTTTTGCAACAAAATAATAGTGACTGCATTATGTGGCTGGCTGAGGGAGAAAAAGGGAAAGGAGAATAAGAAGTCACTCATGTATTAGGTATAGGCACCTCAAACTGCATGTTATTTTCAAAACCAGTCCAGAAAGACAGTATTTACTACCTTTTAATAGCATGGTTAGTTCCTGAATATTCAGAGTGGCTCCAAAAATATTCCAATGTCAAGTTCCTGACAAACCATTTACCCATGTTTATACAAAGAACAATTTTGTTTCTTCTCACCTGCCGGACTTTGTGGATTCTGGTAACAAGTTCATCTGCAGGAACACTTCCTGCTATTACTTCCAAGGGAATTCCACTGTCTCCAATAAAGAAACTGGATGGAACACACACTACAGGATCTGTACAGTTTAATTAAGTCTAACAATTCATGGGAAACAAGAGAATAATTTTATGAAACACTACTGGTAACAAAGCAAAAGAAATCATCTTTGTGAATTTCACAATATAATCAGCTAACATGTTCACAAAATAATTTCAACTACCCTATCACTATGCCTGTAATGCATGTGATATGTGAATTATGATTTATCTATATCACATATGTAAGTGGAAAACATCCACTACATTCCCCTCTATCATAACTTTTACATCTATCTTACCTCTTGCTAGCTACTTCTAACATTCCAACCAAACTGCATCATATTGCTCTCCAGCTATTCACAATTTATAAAAACTCCCCAAGGGGACTTCCCTGGCGGTCCACTGGTTAAGACTCTGCACTCCCACTGCAGGAAGCAGGGGTTCCATTCCTGGTCGTGGAACTAGGATCCTGCATGCTGCGCGGTGCAGCCAAAAAAAAAACCAACAAACTCCCCACGATTCCATTTGCTACAAGGTACTTACTGTCTCAAAGGACACTTAGTAATATAAAGTTTCCATAAACAAGAATGCATGAGTTCCTAAATAAAAATGAATAATTTCTAATTGTCATGAATCAACCAAAAGAAAGGAAACTCCTCAAGCAAAATATATATAAAACCAATTCTTCATGGAAAGGATACAGATCTGTGAAAATTGTAGGCAGGCTTCACTGTAAAACAAAATCAAACAGAAAATCACTAGATGAATACAAGTATTTCCCAAATATTGAGTTGTTTTTATAAAAATTTACTGTAGCAATTACAAGTATTTTTCTTAAACTATTAGTTCCTTTCATAGCCATCAACTGAAAGGGGAAAAACATAATCCTTATCTCACAGACCTTTTTTGGTTTGTTTTATAATTTTCAGATTAAAGAGCACTTGTTCTTGCAACCCACACACTGGTGGCCAGATCTGGCACCTAAAAATCAACTTAGCATCTGCCCCATGTGGCTTCCTCAGCAGCAAGTATTTCTGAATACAGTATCTTAACTTGTAATAAGAAGATATTAATACCTGTGACTTACTTGTGCAAGTGATAATGCTTTTATAATAACAAAGGATTCAAAAAAACCTAAATATCCACCAATAAAAACTAATGAATTGAAGCAACAACAACAAAAAACTAATGAATCATGCAATTGCAAAAAGGATAAAGGTATAAAAAGGTATGTCAAACTACTACCATTTTTGTAAAAAAGGGGGGGAAAACAAATATATTTTCTTGATTTGGTTGCCTCCAGAGAAGAGAACTGGGTGGTCAGGGACAGGGATGGGAGAGAGACTTTACACTATAATACAAATAAAAGACACTGATCAATGCAGAGGAGTAATTCCAAGAATCAAATTAATGCTTCTAAGAACCAGAAATTTGCTTCATTTTCTCTGAATATAAGGTATGATTATCATAAAAACATCTAAAAATACAAAAGTATAAAGAAAAAAATTACCAAGAATCCTACCTTTTCAGAAATAGCCACTGTAAACTTTTGATGCATTTCCAATCTATTTTCAATGCAGGACATAACATAAACTAACATGTTCCTAGAACATTAGGTAGCTTTGTTACTATTATATAATAAATAAAATTTACTTTTCATAATTTAAGACACACTAGATTCTATTAGTAGACTGTCCAAAATGAAACAAATATCAACCATCACTATACACAGGTATCCCTGCATCTGCTAACAGAAATTTGTTTTTAAAAATACTGGATATATCAGTCTGTATATAAATCTCAACAATTCTGAAATTCTCATTTCTTCCACATTCCCAATAAACCTCTACATTCCTCCTGCCATTACTGACTCTAAAAGGTGCTTCTGGAAGAAAATGAACAGTATCAATGACACAGTAGATTCTTTTAAAAAACGATTACAGCTCAATAAATATATAGTTCAGTAACTGCTGCTGTTGTGAGGCAGACTATACTATGATTTACTTTGTGATGTTTTGTTAATAAAGAAAATTTTTAAATAAAAAGTTTACAAACTTATAGGTAAATTTCTGAATATTTTAACCTTGACAGTAATTTTCATTTTGATATTACCAATATCAAAAGGACAGAACTACCACTTTAAAACTGCTAATGAATTAATGTTTCCAGCCATTTATCATTTATGGCTGCTGCTAACATAAAGAGAAACAACAGAGCATTATGTACCCTCTAATGGGAGAATGGAAGACTTACCACCATCTATGAAGTAGTCTTAAGGGGGAAAAAACCTAACCTGAATCCAACTGTCAATTTACAGAAAATAGAGGACAGAGTAATAAACTAAATGACACTAACAGAGCTGCAATGAACAAAACCTGTACTGTAGGAAACTACATAACGAATGACCTGGTTTCCCAAGAAAATAAACTACAAAGAAAAAGAGAGACACAGAAGCGAAGCCTACAGAGTAAAAGAGACTTGAGAGAGATCAATGCATCACAATGCGTGGACCTTGATGGATCCTGAACCAAACTGTAATAAATTAAATTAATAATAAAACCATGACTGATGAGAGAACTGAAAATTTGAACACTGAGTAGATATTTCAAGTTAAGAAATTAGATTCATTTTTGAAGTATTACAGTTATGTTAAAAAATTAAGAATCCTTATCTTTCAGAGACATACCAAAATATTTATAGATGAAGTGATTTGATGACTGAGATTTATTTCAAAATTATATGCGATGAGTTGAAGTGGGTGAGGGAACAGATGAACAAGACTGACCATGGGTTGATAACTGTCAAAGTAGTTGACAGTACAAGGGGGTTCATTACACTACTCAAGCACTTTTGTGTGTGTCTGAAATTCTCTATCCCCCCACAAAAAAAAAAATTTAACGGGGGGAAGAGGGATGTATTAACAAATAAAACAGACTTGTGGTTATCAGGTCCTACAATGGACCTGTAAATGTCCTTATTCTTATTGAATAAAATGGTTCCATTTTCAAAAATAGGATCCAAAAGAGTGGTCAACCTTTCAGAGATATTTCAGGACCACAGTTCCTTTGCATTACTGGTGCATGTCACATAGCTACTTGGTAGACCAAGAATTCATAAGTTTTTCAGTATGATATAATGATGAACTTGAAAAATGGCAATCAGAATTTAAGTCCCTAAAATGTCTTAGACAAAAATCAACATTCTTATAGTCTAAGAATATCACCATAAATCACAACCAAAGACAATGGTTAAAAAATTTTTTAATTACAAGATTAAAACATAAGCAAACCTTTTGGTATCAATTTTAATAGCAACAAAACTGTTTGAAGATGCTTCTGTCACTTTCTCATCTTCCCAACTTGCAGCCATCTGTGTAGACTGCTCATCATCACCTGTAAAACATTTCAAGCATTCTTAAAACATAAGGCCAGTATCTGCTGATTCTTTTCCCTGGAAATCTGGAACTTCAAATAAAATGTAATCTCACAAATAATATTTTCTACCAAATTTGAATTTTCCATAAATGAAAAGCGTGACTTATATGCATTGTTAACATTAATGAGGGCTTCCCTGGTGGCGCAGTGGTTGAGAGTCCGCCTGCCGATGCAGGGGACGCGGGTTCGTGCCCCGGTCCGGGAAGATCCCACATGCCGCGGAGCGGCTGGGCCCATGCGCCATGGCTGCTGAGCCTGTGCGTCCGGAGCCTGTGCTCCGCAATGGGAGAGGCCACAACAGTGAGAGGCCCGCGTACCGCAAAAAAAAAAAAAAAAAAAGTAATGAAAAACAAAATACTGCTATTTAGATTATACAAAGTGTTTTCTAAATGAAGACATCCGAATTATGATGCAAATATTATCACAATAATTAGAAGTCATGGGCAGAAATGTGACTACTTTGGCTTTTCTACATATGATTTTAGAAAATAAATGTACAATACTTTTCCTTTATGCAGCATCTTTCTGTTGAGTTCAATATCCTCCACACACACCCCACTTATTTTCCAGAATTCCTCCAAGGTAGACAGAAGCAGGTGCAATCCTGCCTGCAGTTTTGGACCTGTCTTTTGTTATAGGCATACTAATTATAAAAGTTACACTGATCCAAAACTAATTATGCTGACAGAATTCAGCACGGTGGCTACTTTGGTAGAGCTACTATTGACTGGGAAGGAGGATGAAGGAGGCTCTGGGGTCTTGGAAATATTTATATCTTTTTTTAAATTTATTTTTATTTTATATTAGAGCATAGTTGATTAACAATGTTGTGTTAGTTTCAGGTCTACAGCAAAGTGATTCAGTTATACATATACATGGATCTATTCTTTTTCAAATTCTTTCCCCATTTAGGTTATTACAGAGTACTGAGCAGAGTTCCCTGCGCTATACCATAGGTCCTTGTTGATTATCCATTTTAAATACAGTAGTGTGTACATGTCAATCCCAAACTCCCAATCTATCCCTACCCCCCAGTTCCCCCCTGGTAACCATAAATTCATTCTCTGTGAATCTGTTTCTATTTTGTAAATAAGTTCATTTGCATCATTTGTTTTTCAGATTCCACACATAAGTAATATCATATGATAGGAAATGTTTACATCTTATCTGAATGATAGTTACACAAGTGTATTCATCTATAAAAATTCGTCTAGTTGTTCACTGAATATATTTCATTTAATATACTGTATGCCATACCTCAGGGACAAAATGTTTTAAAAGTTAAACCTATCAAGAAATTATTTCCATTTTAGACTTGTAATATCCAGATTTTGGCATAACCACTTATTGGTGGGCAAAGGGAAACTTACCTGAGTTAAGTCACTGAAAAATATTTCTCAGGTTAGCAGAGCTAAGTGCTTTTTCAAAGGTGAGCAACCTTTGCCAATTTATGCTTAAAAAGGCTTCAGGTCACATTTTTTGCTTTACAAAAATGAGATCTTTCTATACCTACTCTTTTGTAAGCTGCTTTCTTCCCATGTGTCTTCCCGCCTTCCCCAATTTAATCCACCCTTAGCCTTGCCCATTTCAGTTATCTGTTAATGGGTAACACCATCCTTTCAGTTCTCAGGCCAAAAAGTTTAGTTATTCTTGCCTTCAACTGACGGTATCTCCAAAATATCTCCAGGGACTTCCCCGGCAGTCCAATGGTTAAGACTCTGCGCTTCCAGTGCAATGGGTGCGGGTTCGATCCCTGGTAGGAGAACTAATATCCCGCACGCTGTGTGGCACGGCCAAAAAATTAAAAAAAAAAAAAAAAATATATATTTTTAAAGCACCTTTCTTTAAAAAGTCAGATCAGGGACTTCCCTGGCGGTCCAGTGGTTAGGACTCCACGCTCTCACTGCCGAGGGCCAGGGTTCAATTTCAATCCCTGGTGGGGGAGCTAAGATCCCACCACAAACTGTGCGGCCCAGCCAAAAATAAAATAAAATAAAATGTCAGATTACATCAACCCTCTGATCAAAATTCTACAATAGCTCCCTATTTCCCTCAGAGTAAAAGCAAAAAGTCCTTACAAATGACCTCAGGCCTTCAGTTACCTCTCTGACCTCATTTCCTTTTATTTTTTTGCTGTCCCTTTCCTTCCTATCCCTTTCCTTTCTATTCCTCAAATATTAAAGACATTCTTGCCATAGGTCTGTGTACTAGTTGTTTCCTCTGCCTGGAATATTCTTCCCCCAGATACCTACATGGTTAACTCTCAACTCCCTTAAGTCCTTGCTCAAATATTATCTTCTCAATACAAACTTTCCCTAATCACTACTTTAAAATTAAACAATTCAGGGAGTTCCCTGGTGGTCCAGTGGTTAGGACTTGGTGCTTTCACTGAGGGGACCCAGGTTCAATCCCTGGTGGGGGAACTACGATCCCACAAGCCGCACAGCATGGCAAAAAAATAAAATAAAATAAAATTACACACTTCAGATATTCCCAAAGCTCCCTCATTTCCTGCTCTTTTTTTCTGTAATGCTTATCACCTTCTAACAGACTATGCGTTTTACTTATTATGTTTACTGTTTATTGTCTGTCTCCCTGCACTAGAATGCATGTTTCATGAGAGCAAGGATTGTTTTCCTTTTTATTTACTGATATAACTCAAATGCCTACAACAGAACCTGGCCTACAGTAAAATACCTGGAATATAGCAGGCTCTCAGTAAGTATTTTGTGGAATGAATAGCTAAATTCCTGGTATAGTATCTTGGCATGCCTACAAAAACTTGACTAATGCTGCACAGTTGAAAACATTTTTTGTGAAATGAGATACAGGAATATTCAGTAATAAGGGGCTTGAGAAATCTGGCCACGGAAAAGTAGACAGGGACTAGAATGCACCCACAGACCAAGACCAAAAGAATGCCCATTAGCAGACCCCTAGATGTTGAAGCAGCAAACGGGAAAACTTTTATTTGCAGTGAGATCATTCTGAGCACATCTTCAGACACTATGGAGTGAGGAGAGATGTAAAATTCCAAGTAAATGACAGGACTTTCAACCTAGAAAATAGCTATATAGGAACATTTTTACTAAACTTAGAGAAGGCTGTGAGGTGACAGGGATCTTTTTCATTCATTCTTTCATACATTCACTATTTTATTCCACATTTACGTTGTGCTAGGCACTGAGCTACAAACTAAATATAAAACAAGTGAGATACTGTATGCCCTCAGTGGAGCTTAAAATCTAAAGATACAAAAAAAAGTACTTGTTTGGTCACCCTCTCTGAGGTGATATTTAAGGTAAGACCTAAAGGATGCAAGAGCTGAGCCATGCCACAAGCCAGAAGAGTTCACTACACAGAAGGAATTTCCGTGTAGGGAAAGGTCTGTGTAATTACGAGTCTTGTGAACAACAGGGCGCAGGAGACAAGACGAGACTGAAGAGTTAAGGGTCCAGAGATGACGCCCACACTTAGGTTTCTCCAACTGGATGTAAGGTGGTGCCATTTACTTAGAACACTGGGGGAAAAAAAAAACAGGTTCAAGCAGTAATACTTTTAGGCTTGAGAATCCTGTGAGGCATCCAAGTGGGGATGTCAAGTTGGTGCCTGGAAGGATGGATCTGCCACTTCTCAGGCCAATGTCCTTCACTCCCTCACCCATGCTGTACGACGTAGATAGGGTCTCAAGTGTTCCATCCCCACTAGCAATATCTGTCCATGAGTCAGGCTAGTGCAGCAGCAGCTGCCTGACCAAAAGTGATGGAAGACTGAATGGAATTACATTAACTCAGCAAGAGTTATCTTAACACTTCTGGGTGGGATTATTAATCGCCAACTTCAGTACCTTTAGTTTCTTATTTTTAATCAAATCATGAACTATGCTGTGGAGTTAGGTGGGCCAAAGATTTTAGGAGAAAACATTACATCCTTGGTGGTATGAGCAGTATCCAAAAGTAAAGCCACTTAAAAGAATAGTACCAGGACTTCCCTGGTGGCGCAGTGGTTGAGAGTCCGCCTGCCAATGCAGGGGACAAGGGTTCGTGCCCCGGTCCGGGAAGATCCCACATGCCGCGGAGCGGCTAGGCCCGTGAGCCATGGCCGCTGAGCCTGCGCTCCGCAACAGGAGAGGCCACAGCAGTGAGAGGCCCGCGTACCGCAAAAAAAAAAAAAAAAAGAATAGTATAAACTCTGAAGCAAAAAGCTGCAGACCCGACAATCAGTAACTCCAACCTAGAAAAACTCAACTGGTCAAAACCTAAAGGGTTTTTTAGTCTATTTTAACCAAAAAAAGAGGCATGAAATAGTGTCTGTCAGTCACGGAGATTTTAGCCAACTAGCAACACTAATCAGTGAACCCACACCTCTACTTCAGAATCCTTGTCAGATTATTCTGTCTTCCCAAGAATAGAATCAAAATCTTCAGTTTTATTTCTTTCAACTTACACAGCTATAATACTTTGAAAATCCTTGTTAACTCATTGACTTAACTAGTAGTAATCTCTCTAGTCTCTTAACATCAATCCTACATATTCTTTAATTCATCCATGAAAATTTCAGTAAAATATAAACAATCTACCTAAAATGCTTCCCACTTGAGTGGTTATATGAAGCAAAGACTACCCTTAAGACCACTCCTTCCAACTATAAAGACTCCTTCCAACTATTATATCTTTTTAATTTTCAGTGAGTTGGTATATTACTATCGAGGTCTCAGACCTAAGAAAATCATGAGTTCTGGCTGTATTCTTCAAAGTCAAGAGCAGAGGTCTAAGCAATCTATAAGTGTTGCAGTTTCATGACTCCACTGTCTACATACTCCTGGAGTGACACTAATCCTACCTAATCTTGGAGATTAACTTCCTAAAACTCTAGAAAAACCAACAGTATTTTCAATGAGTCAAAGGACTGACTCCTTCGGCAGATTGCTAACAGTCCTCCTGCAAACATTCAACAGTCACTGATACTCTAAAAGCATATGACAGGGCTTCCCTGGTGGCGCAGTGGTTAAGAATCCGCCTGCCAATGCAGGGGACACGGGTTCAAGCCGTGGTCGGGGAAGATGCCACATGCCGCGGAGCAACTAAGCCCGTGTGCCACAACTACTCAGCCTGCACTCTACAGCCCAAGAGCCACAACTACTGAGCCTGCGCTCTAGAGCCCTCAAGCCACAACTACTAAGCCCATGTGCCACAACTACTGAAGCTCCTGTACCTAGAGCCCGTGCTCCACAACAAGAGAAGCCACCACAATGAGAAGCCCGTGCACTGCAACGAAGAGTAGCCCCGGCTCACCACAACTAGAGAAGGCCTGAGCACAGCAACGAAGACGCAATGCAGCCAAAGATAAAATAAATAAAATAAATAAATGTATAAAAGAAAAAAATAAATAAAAGCATAAGATACATGCTCATCAGTAAAAAGTTAATTGAAGGATGTATGTATTATATATACACACAAAGCCCTAAAGATCTATAACTTTATTTTTCTATTGTAATAATTAGCACTACTGTTTCCAAATGGGTTTCCAAATATGTGTTAATTAAATCTAGCATTTCTTCTTTCAAATTAACTGGTTAGCCCAGGAGTGCCTTCTAGGAACCTTTGGACACCATCAAATGTGTTTTCTGTTTAAAAATATGACTACCATAATCCTAGATTTCCTGATTTCTACACCAATTTCAATAACTACCTAAATTCTACAACTGTTCAGCTTTTTTCTTGAGAAATAAAGAAGACACTCTTTTGGAAGCTGCTAAAAAAAAATCTGTCAGGACAAGATATAAATCCTTTTTGTGACACTGGTGTATGTCATTTAACCACTGTGGATGTAAGTTCCCTCATCTATAAAATGGGCATAATAAGCCCTGTTCTACCAACTGCCAGGATCAATTGAGATTATATATGAAAAACACAACTTAAAATGTCATTAAAACCATTACTGTACTCTTAATAAGCATACTAAGTATCATTAATTTTCCTTTCCCTTCTCTTTTTTTTAAAAAATAAATCAGGATTACTTTTTTAAAATAAATGTATTTATTTATTTTTGGCTGTGTTGCATCTTCATTGCTGCGCGCGGGCTTTCTCCAGTTACAAAGACCGGGGACTACTCTTCTTTGCGGTGCAGGGGCTTCTCATTGCGGTGGCTTCTCTTGTTGCATACCATAGGCTCTAGGTGTGTGGGCTTCAGTAGTTGTGGCACATGGGCTCAGTAGTTGTGGCTTGTGGGCTCTAGAGCACAGGCTCAGTAGCTGTGGCACACGGACTTAGCTGCTCCGCGGCATGTGACATCTTCCCAGACCAGGGATGGAGCCTGTGTCCCCTGCACTGGCAGGCAGATTCCTAACGACCGTGCCACCAGGGAAGCCCTCCTTTCCCTTTTAATCCACTTATTTCCTTACAGGTTTACCGCAGTTACTTATTTATGTGAAATATAACTCTAAAAAAGCGTAAGAGAATGTAAACTACTCCAGCTCTTCTAATTAACAGCACTGGGCTTACATCTTACATTTTAGCATAATTTAAAACAATTCAAAATTCCAAATTTAATGTTAAATGAAACTCATATTCCAGCAACTTGCTCTTCACCGCAATGCATAAAGTTATAGGGCTATTACCTAGCCTTCCAAGTCATGAGTTAATGATGAATAAACCGTTACTAAACACAAATAGTTGAAATAATACACCTCAAATTAACGGTAGTCACAAACACTGATTTGGTTCATGTAATGAGGACCAGCAAAACCTCACAGAAGCAAAGGTTTACGGTAAATCTAGAAGATTTCACTAATAAAATACGGAGCAAAATAACCCAGAGCAACACGGCGTAAATGATTTAGTACACCTTCTGAAACTGTAGCTATGAGACTAGGAAGACAACAAAAAGAACCAAGGCTGGTGTGTCTACTTCTTCTAAACAAATGGTTTAAAAAAAAAATCAACTTGCAAGAAAGTAATTATTCCACATTAGATTCACCACTCCCATATCACTGTAAAAAAAAAAATCAAACCTATATAGACCTCAAAAGTTTGCGTTTCAGGAACATACGAAAGCCAGTAATCGTGAACATCAGGTGCTTTCTCTTTGTTGATTACCGATGACACAGCTTTCTTCCTGACAGCCCACAACTAATTACAAGTAAAACTGCCTGCCTAATGGCCCGGCTCTCTTCCCACCTACACACTAACTACACGGGCGTTAAAGCCTCCCCAAGTGGATCCTCGGGGACAGAGCGCCCTACCCGGGGGGCCCGGGGGGCGGCGGTGGCGTCAGTGTACGCGCGGGGTCAGGCTCGGCGGGGCACTGCGGGCTGAGCGGCGAAGGCCTGCTCCACCCGTCCCCTCGCCCCGCGCAGTGAGGTGACCGCGGGGCTCGGCGCGCTTTGGGAGCGAAGCCGGGGCCGTGCCTCCCGCCGGGAACCGGGAGAAGCGGGCGGTGGGGGGCCAGGCCCGGTGCGCTCCAAACCGACGGGGGAGGAGCTGAGACGCCAGGGAGACGGGCAGCCCGGGCCTCTCGGCGCCCGGAGGAAAGGCTGGGGGCCCCTGGGATTAGAAGTAGGCCGGAGAGGGTGTCCCGACCACGTCTCGCGCCCTCGCCTCCTTCACCTGCCACGAACACCACGAAGACCGCGCCGCTCCTCTTAGCCGACGCGATGGCGGCCGGAATGGCGCCCTGGAACCACAGCATCGCTGCCCTCGGGCACAGGCGCTCGCTCGGTGTGTAGTCGCCTCGGTCACGGAGCTGGCCCCGCCCTCTCCGTCGTTGGGCCCCACGGCCCGCCTCCGGCTTCGCACCGGCGCGCAAGCCCGTCAGCGGCCCCCACGACGCGCGCAAGCGCGCAGGCTGAGGCGCGCCCCGCGACACATGACGCCACGCGTCGCCGTCGGCACCGCGCCCCCGTGCCTTGTCTCGTTGGCAAGTCGGTGCGTGCGGGCGCCCGCGAGGCCGCAGGCCCTGCAATCGCGGAAGTGGAAGGAGGCAGAGGAAAGGGTGACTAATCGCTAAGTGGCGGCGGCGGCGGCGGCGCCTTCCTGAGGCATGACGGGAATTGTAGTCTTCTTAGGCTTGGTTCCTTTAATGTGGGAAATGTCACTGTGGTTTCCCGGGCACGGCTAAGGGGGCAGCAGTGAGAACCACTTCACAATCTATAAAGAGGAGAAGTGGCGCTAGTCACCGGGAGATGCCCTTCTCGGCATTACTGAGACCTTAAATGTGGAGGAAATCATCCCCGCCCCGGGTGGAACCCTGCGTAGTGGGACCATGTAATTGTGTATTATGATTAGTGGTCATTGTGCGATAGGGTGGGTGTCTCTCGGTATAGAACTAAACGGGCTTTGTAGGGATTTACTGCAAGGCTTTGACTTCTATTGGACTTAATTTATCACCTCAACCTTGAAGAAAAGAACCACAGCAGTCACCTTCTGTAATACCGTACAGCCCGTGTACCTGAGGGGAGGTATTGGTTGAACGCAGACCTTGAGTAATTTCACTGTGGTTGGTTAGAGATCATTCCAAACCTCAAAACGCTTAGCTACGCTGTTGCCACAGCTGCTTTCGAAAGTAAGTCAAAAGCAGAGAATAGATAATGATGTATTTTCCAGCTACTTTTCAAGGTAATACAAAAGAGAAGAATAGATAATTTTGTTTACGATGACAGAGTACTGTGATCAAGATAGGGCACTTTGTGGTTGGTTGCCATTAAAATGAAAACTGATTCATACTTAATACTTTCTTGAAATTACATGGTCTCTATTAACTATTGGCTAAAGCCTTGTATGGTTTATTTAAAGTTGCATACGCTATTATATTAGACATCCTACATCATTTAAATTTCTCTTACAGCAGTACAGTCATTTAACAATCCTTGCAGGGTTAAGGAGGAGCTACATCTGAAAATATCCCTTTCCTACAAATATTTAACCTAAAAATAGCTAACATTCTTTCCGATTTTTTTTTTTTTTTTTTGGCTGCATTGGGTCTTCGTTGCTCCGCACGGGCTTTCTCTAGTTGCGGTGAGCGGGGGCTACTCTTCATTGCGCTGCGCGGGCTTCTCACTGTAGTGGTTTCTCTCGTTGCGGAGCACGAGCTCTAGGCGCGCCGGGCTTCAGTAGTTGCAGCACACAGGTTCAGTAGTTGCAGCACTCAGGCTCTAGGTGTGCAGGCTTCAGTAGTTGTGGCACGCAGGCTCAGTAGTTGTGGCGCATGGACTTAGTTGCTCCGCGGCCTGTGGGATCTTCCCGGACCAGGGATCAAACTCGTGTTCCCTGCATTGGCAGGCGGATTCTTAACCACTGCGCCACCAGGGAAGTCCCTCTTTCTGATTTTTATTTACACTTTTCCAACCAGGCCTCTCATACAGTGTCATTATAAACTGAAATATAATGCTGATTACAGACAGTTGCTGCTTCCATAGGACACCATGCCTCAGGAAGAATTAGAGTTGATCTTCAACGTCAACTTTAAATGGATTCCTTGTGATTCCATCAACATATATATCCTTTTGGTAGAGCAATGTCTTTATTTCTAATGTTAGAATTAATATTAGAAGAATCATTCATAGCCTTTCACTCATTCATCAACTATTTATTGCTCATCTGCTATGAACTAGGCATTGTACCTGGCATTGATAAGAAGGTGAGGCAGTCAGACAAAGGCCCTGCCTTTGTGACTGCACAGTCTAAAGAGGAAGACAAGTGATGATGCATGCCACAAGAGGGGAAATTCTGAGTCCTTCAGAAATGTGATGATGTGACCCGACGTGGATAGCAGGGTTAGAAAAGACCTTTCTGAGGAGATGGCATGTGAGGGGAAATCTAGCTAGGTGAAGGAGAAGACCATTCGAGACAGAGGAAACAGCAGTGTGAAGGCTGCGAAGCAAATGAGAAAGTACCCTTGAAGAACTGAAAAATGTCCAGTGTGACTAGAACATACAAAGAGTTGTATGGTGTAAATGAGGCTGGAAAGATAGCAAGGTTAGCTCATCCAGGGCCTTGGAAGTCATGTTAAGGATTGCAGACATTTTTCTAAGAATTGTAGAAAACCATTGAAGAATTTTAAACTGAGGAGTTACACATAAGATGTGTGTTTTTAATATGCAGCTATGCTGCAGTTTTAGTGGATTGTATTGGAAGTGGAAAGGGTGAAAGTGAAGAGACTGGTTAAGAACCCAGAATTGGGTGCTTTCGAGAATTTTGGAAGCAGACCCAATAGGTTTTGTTGATCAATTAGCTATGGAATTTGAGGAAGGAGGAGTCAAGAAGAGATCTTGGGTTTCTGTTTTGAGAAACTGTATAGAAGATGGTAGTGTGATAGGGACCACTGAAGGAAGAGCAGGTAGGTGGGGACGTGGGCATGAAGATGTGAGTTCAATATTATTAGCCATGTGTTTGGAGTGCTTGGAGAGTGTTTGGAGAGACAGCAGGAGGAGATGTTAAGTAGGCAGATAGATGTCAGGTTGGGAGCTCAGAAAACTGTTCTTACCTCAAGATAGGAGTGTGAGATTTCTCTACATACAGGGGATAATTGAAGCTCTGGAGATGTTCTCACTTACGGTGTGTGCAAAATGAGGTAAGACAAGAGTTATGACGGAGGTCTTAAGACCTCCGACATCTATAGCGTTGTGTAGGAAAGTACAAACCAGTAACAGAGACTTAGGAAAGGTATGGGGGTATGTTGAGGGGGGAGGGGGAGAATGGGAGCTTGTGATACCAAAGAAGCCAAGGGTAGAGAGATTTTTGAGAAGGGAGTGGGAAGCCGCTGTGTTGAATGCTGCTCTCAGGTCAAGTTAAATAAGATTCTTGAATGTCCATTGTTTTTAGCAATATGAAGGTGATTATCAACTTAGCAAGAGGGGTTTTGATGTGTTCTTCTGTGTGGAAGCCAGATGGCAATGGGTTGAAGAGTAAAGGGAGATAGGGAGGGGGTGTCAGTAATTGTGAAGAGAAGGAGGAAGAAAGGACATTAGCTGGACAGGGATTTGGACTGAGAAAAACAGCTTTTTTAAAGATTGGAGAAACTTGTACCCTATCAAGTATTGATGGAAAGGAGCTAGTCTTGGAGAGATTGAATACACAGGAAACAGGGAGGCCCCTAGGAAGATGAGAGGGAATATGTGATATATGGCAAATTCTGCTAATAGCCCACCCAACAATCATGCTTCTACCACGCTCCTCATTTTTCTTTGCTGGCAGAGTTTCCCCACTGAGAGGGAAACTGCTAGATACCTGGGTTTTTTTTGTTTTTTGTTTTTTTTGTGGTACGCAGTCCTGTCACTGTTGTGGCCTCTCCCGTTGCAGAGCACAGGCCCCGGACGCGCAGGCTCAGCGGCCATGGCTCACGGGCCCAGCTGCTCCACGGCATGCGGGATCCCCCCAGACAGGGGCACGAACCCAAGTCCCCTGCATCGGCAGGCGGACTCTCAAGCACTGCGCCACCAGGGAAGCCCCTAGATACCTGTTTTTTTCAACCTCCTCTTAGAGCCAGTAGGACTTCGTGGGAAGTGGGGATTGGGGTGGAGGCAGTTCTAGAAGTTTTCCTTAAAAAAGAGACACATGGAAGAAAGCACAACCCTTCTCCGTGTGCCTATGCTGCCTGGTACTGCTATGGCCAGAGGAACGACATTGCCAACTCTCTGAGAATGGTAGAATGGAATATGGAAAGCACCCGTGTCTGTGATGACTCAAGTCCTGTCTTGTGGGAGAACAACTGTCCTCATAGGTTAGGCTATTCTGTAAGTCGGATATTGCTTCTTGTAATCACCACCATTCTAAACAAACTGGGATGGGATCCAGAGCACAGGCAGACAGAAGAGATACCCTTTCCATATTAACAGGAAGCAGAGTGGAAAAATAACTTTGGACATAAAGAAGCTTATAAGTTTCAGGACAGTTAAGTTGAGGAAGTTTTCATGCGAATGCTGGACCCTATGAAGGAGAGGTCATTTGCTGAGAGTGATGGGAAAGGTAAGGAAATTGGCGCCTTGAAGTTCGGAGCAACGTCTGAAATAATATTGAGGAGTGTTGAAAGGCAAGGGCCGAGGGAAACAGTGCACCAGGCAGGGCTGAGGGCCCAGTGAGATTGGTGGCCCCGATTTTTCCCAGTCGTGTGATTTTCTTCAGTGATCACTCAGTTCCTGGGGTACAAGCCCTGAGGATGTGGACACTTGGATTTACATAGGGCCTAGACAGCACGAGAGAGGACAAAGGAACAAGGGAATTGAGGAGATTAGCAAGAGTGAGTGATGTGATGGACCAGGGAATCTAAGCTGAGTGGGAAGGCAAGTGAGTGCAGAAAGGAGACCATGGATACCAAAAATAAGTCAGGTTGGGGGCGGGCAATGGCCTGGAGGGCAAGGAGTAGGCAAGAGACTCGTCAGCAATATGGGATTTTATTTTAATTTTATTTATTTATTTTTTGGCCACACCGCGCGGCTTGCGGGATCTTAGATCCCTGACCAGTGCTCCCAGCAGTGGAAGCGCGGAGTCCTAACCACTGGACCGCCAGGGAAGTCCCCAGCAATATGGAATTTTAAAATGGTCAATCTTCTGGGTGCGGGGGAAAAACAAACCTAGTCAGGAATTATAGAAATTCCTGATTTCTTTGCCATTCTTGAGCTTAGAAGTCCAATATTGTGGAATTCAATGAGAAGTATCCCTTACTGAATCAACATGCCCTTCTTTCTTCCATCACAGAGAGTGAAACTAGAGTCTCCTCCCTTTACTCTGTGTGCAACCAGCCACAGCAATCTGTCAGTTCCTTTATGTTATCTGAAATCCTTTCCATTTCAATGTAGTGAAAAGACAAAACAAAACAAAACAAAAAAAAGGGGCTTCCCTGGT